GGGGCTGCGTCCTGCTGCTCTCCCCGTGAGCGCCCCCAACCCTGCCCGCAGCCAGCTCCTGCTGCACCCGCTGCCTTGCCCGCAGCCACCCCCGAACCCCCTGCCCGCAGCCAGCCCGTCTCTAGCCACCCCCGAACCCCCTGCCCGCAGCCAGCCCGTCTCCAGCCACCCCCGAACCCCTTGCCTGCAGCCAGCCCCTGCCTCCAGCCACCCCTGAACCCCCTGCCCGCAGCCAGCCCCTGCCTCCAGCCACCCCCTGCACTCCCTGCCTGCAGCCAGCCCCTGCCTCCAGCCACCCCCTGCCCTGCCTCCATCCAGCCCCTGCCGCACCCCCTGCCCTGCCTCCAGCCACCCTCGCACCCCATACCCGCAGCCAGCCCCTGCCGCACCCCCTGCCCTGCCCGCAGCCACCCCCTGCCTCCAGCCACTCCCCTGCCCTGCCTCTATCCAGCCCCTGCCCTGCCTCCAGCCACTCTCGCGCCCCCTACCCGCAGCCAGCCCCTGTCTCCAGCCACCCCCGCACCCCCTTACCTGCAGCCAGCCCCTGCCGCACCCGCTGCCTTGCCCGCAGCCACCCCCGAACCCCCTGCCCGCAGCCAGCCCCTGCCTCCAGCCACCCCCTGCACTCCCTGCCTCCAGCCAGCCCCTGCCCTGCCTCCATCCAGCCCCTGCCACACCCCCTGCCCTGCCTCCAGCCACCCTCGCACCCCCTACCCGCAGCCAGCCCCTGCCGCACCCCCTGCCCTGCCCGCAGCCACCCCCTGCCTCCAGCCGCCCCCTGCAGCCCTGCCTGCAGCCAGCCCCTGCCTCCAGCCACTCCCCTGCCCTGCCTCCATCCAGCCCCTGCCCTGCCTCCAGCCACTCTCGCGCCCCCTACCCGCAGCCAGCCCCTGTCTCCAGCCACCCCCGCACCCCTTACCTGCAGCCAGCCCCTGCCGCACCCCCTGCACCCCTTGCCTGCAGCCAGCCCCTGCCGCACCCCCTGCCCTGCCTCCAGCCACCCCTGAATCCCCTGCCTGCAGCTAGCCCCTGTCTCCAGCCACCCCCGCACACCCTGCCTGCAGACAGCCCCTGCCTCACCTCCTGCCCGGCCTCCATCCAGCCCCTGCCTCCATCCAGCCCCGCACCCCCTGCCTGCAGCCAGCTAGCCCCTGTCTCCAGCCACCCTCTGCACCCCCTGCCCGCAGCCAGCCCCTGTCGCACCCCCTGCACCGCCTGCCCGCAGCCAGCCCCTGCCCCCAGCTAGCCCCTGTCTCCAGCCACCCCCTGCACCCCCTGCCCGCAGCCAGCCCCTGTCTCCAGCCCCGCCGCACCCCCTGCCCGCAGCCAGCCCCTGCCACACCCCCTGCCTCCAGCCACCCCTGCCCTGCCTCAAGCCAGCCCCTGCCTCCAGCCATCCCCGCACCCCCTGCCTGCCTCCAGCCACCCCCTACCCTGCCTCCAGCCACCCCCTGCACCCCCTGCCTGCAGCCAGCCCCTGCCTCCAGCCACCCCCCTGCCCTGCCTCCATCCAGCCCTTGCCGCACCCCCTGCCCTGCCTCCAGCCACCCCCGCACCCCCTGCCTCCAGCCAGCCCCCCTGCACCCCCTGCCTCCAGCCACTCCCCTGCCCTGCCTCCAGCCACCCTCGCACCCCCTACTCGCAGCCAGCCCCTGTCTCCAGCCACCCCCTGCACCCCCTGCCTGCAGCCAGCCCCTGCCCTGCCTCCAGCCACCCCCTTGTGACGAAGTGTCCCTAATGTTTCCTCTGAATAGTGTGGGGGTGCCTCAGTTTCCCCTATGCAGTTCTTAAGTATCTAGGGGGTGGGATAAGTGTGTATGATCATTGAGAGCCCTAGAGGGCAGGTGTGTGCAGGGGTCTGGACACAGAGAAGAACTGACACCCTGTTTCCTGGCCACTGATGGCCTGGGCCCTTCCCCCCCTGCAAGTTGAGATCTAAAGGGTTGGAGAACAAAGGAATCCGGTGACCTCCTGGCCCGGGAGAGGGACAAAGCCCAGAGGAGGAGGGGCTGGAGGGAGTTTCAGTTTGGGGCTGGCTGGGACATGGAGTGAAGTGCAGACGTGGTTGTCTGGCTCACTGCCCCCCAAAATGGACCCAGCTGAGGGGTCCTGTTCTCTGCACCTGCAAGCTCTGTTTTAGACCATGTTCCTGTCGTCTAATAAACCTTCTGTTTTACTGGCTGGCTGAGAGTCACGTCTGACTGCGGAGTTGGGGGGCAGGACCCTCTGGCTTCCCCAGGACCCCGCCTGGGCGGACTCACTGGGGGAAGAGCAGGGAGGGGCAGAGGAGGCTGAATGCTCCGAGGTCAGACCCAGGAAGGTGGAAGCCGGGTGAGCTGTGGGTCCTGAAGAAAGGCGACTGCCCCAGAGTCCTGCCTGGCTTCATGGGGAGCAGTTCCAGAGCATCGCCCAGGGACTCCGTGACACCCCTGCACCCCCTGCCCGCAGCCAGCCCCTGCCTCCAGCCAGCCCCTGCACTCCCTGCCTCCAGCCAGCCCCTACCTCCATCAGCCCCTGCCCTGTCTCCAGCCAGCTCTGCACCCCCCTGCCCTGTTTCCAGCTAGCTCCGCACCCCCTGCCTCCAGCTAGCCCTGCCCCACACCCCTGTCTGCTGCTGGCCCCATGTCCAGTGGTGCCCTGCAGTTCCCACACCTGCTTCAATGAGGGGGGCAGGGAGCAGCTGGGACCCACAAATGAGCACACCCTAGGGTGACCAGACAGCAAGTGTGAAAAATCAGGACAGGGGGTGGGGGGTAACAGGAGCCTATATAAGAAAAAGACCCCAAAACCAGGACTGTCCCTATAAAATCGGGACATCTGGTCACCCTAGCACACCCCCAGAGCGTGGTGGGGTCTCACACCTGTGAAATGGAGCTCATTTCTAGGTCAGGCCCATCTTTTTGAAGAAGAGCTTTAGGCAGTGTTAACACACACCCGTATTTTCCCGACATGTCAGGCTTTTTGGTTCTTAAATCGCCATCTGGGAGGAATTTTTAAATTATGGACGTATGGTAACCCTGTTGGTACAAAAAATACATACTGGGGCACAGCCCTTACATCAGAACTTTTTATAGGGAACCGGTTGTTAAGATTTTGGCAGCTCATCACTGGGCAGATGTGTGATCAACTGCCTCCCCCCAAGCAAACCCTCGGGGCCACACACTGCTCACAGGCCAGGCAAGTAGGGCTAGGGTGCAGTCACAGCTAAGAACGTCCAGTCTGCCCCAGAAGCGGAGCTCAGGCATCGCTGTGGCAGCCAGGGCCCAAGCAGTCCCCTTGGTGTACCCAGGATTCTAAGGGGCAGCCCACAAGCGGGCTCCAGAAAGCCCTGTCCAGCCCAAGAGGCAGCAGCAGCAGGGCACAGCACCAAGCACCCAGCTCCTTCCCTTTACGCAGGGCCTCCTGGCCGTAAATCTGTAAGGACGATGACATGCAAGGGCCGAGTGGATGAGATCAGGCAGAGGTTTGAGGGGCATTGGCCTAGCTTGCAAAGGCCAGCTCAGAGAGAACACAGCCCTGTGTCACAGTGTGATAAAACAAGCCCGAGCCTTGGGACCAAGTAGGGCAGACTGCCAGCAAACCCCAGGACGGGAGTGAGGGAAGAGAGCAGCCTAAGGTGTCTTCTTCCCTGGAAAGCTGGTCTCCATGGGATGCAAGTATGAGCGTGGACACTAGTACCAGGGCCTCTAGCTGGGCGACCCCGGCACCCACATGGGTGCAGCTCTGGAGCAAGCGCTTCAGGGACCCTTTGAGGGGAGCAGGGAGCACCTGGGTGTGGTGTTGCAATCTTGGAGACTCCGGGCCCGATTCTCTTCTACTTACACCAGTGCAGATCAGCAGTAACTCCCCTCAAGGCCATGGAGTCCAATGGTGTAAAAGAGAAGAAGGATCAGGCCCATCAAAGGGTGGACATGGCAGCCCCCAAAATAAAGAGGGGGAGGTGGGGGTTTCCATGACACTAGCAGGCACTGCTGTCAATGGAAAGAAGAGGTGAAAGTAGGATACCTAAACGGGGGTGGGGTGGGGTGGGGGGTCTCTACTCTCCTGCATCCAATCCATTCCAACCCCATATCCAGTCCTGGTTTTGTAACCTGCCCCATCTCGTCTTGGACTATAACAGGAGCTGGACCAACACTTGTTGCCAGGCAGAGAGGTGGTCAGGGATCTGCGCCAGGCATCCTGCACCTACCAACCAGTCAAAGCAGAGATCCAGGGCCTTCTCTCTCTCTCACACACACACACACACACACACACACAACTGTAGCCACTCCAAAAGCCATCTGCCTAGCCAGCCACTCCCACACCAGCAGCTACTTCCGAGCAGCAGTGATTAGCAAGCAGCTGGTCGGTTTTTTTCCACCCATTCCTTGCGTGCTGTGTGCAGATGGGCTGGTTTGATTTTATTGACTGATTAGGAGATTATTAGACACAAACAAAGACATATAAATATCTGCAAGCAATAGACTAGGACACTAGGACATTCCGATCCACTTCAGCAATCACCAGAACTCCTCCCATCTCCTCCGGATTACAGAAAGAAAACTCCCAAACTGCTTGCCCCTGAAGGATAAGTTTTGATCAAGACCCCCAGAGGTATGAGCCACCCACAGACTCTGCCCGCACATGGTCAGAGCTTAGTAGTGCTTCAACCGAGAGGCAGCAAGTTTGCTGCCAGGCCACCCTACTTAATCAACCACCCACACCTGTTCCCTCCTTCTGCCCATTTTCAAAAGTTGCTCTTCCCTTGGAATGTATTTTTGAAGCCACCCAACTCAAATATGCCAGGATTCCAGGTCTGAACTGTCGGGATACACAAGGAGCCTAGCAAAAACCCTGAATCCAAACTCTGTAGTGGGCCAAATTGTAAATGTTCACAGTTTGGACTGTTCTACTGTGAACATTTACAATTTAGCCCATTAGAGAAACAGATATTCAAGTGTCAGAGTAGCAGCCGTGTTAGTCTGTATTCACAAAAAAAAAAAAAACAGGAGGACTTGTGGCACCTTAGAGACTAACAAATTTATTTGAGCATAAGCTTTCATGAGCTACAGCTCACTTCATCGGATGCATTCAGTGGAAAATACAGTGGGACAATTTTAAATACACAGAGAACATGAAACAATGGGTGTTAACATACACACTGGAGAGTGATCACTTATGGTGAGTTATTACCGGCAGGAGAGCAGGGAGGAAAAACCTTTTGTAGTGATAATCGAGGTGGGCCATTTCCAGCAGTTGACAAGAACATCTGAGGAACAGTAGGGGGTGGAAGGGGGGAATAAACATGGGGAAATAGTTTTACTTTGTGTAATGACCCATCCACTCCCAGTCTCTATTCAAGCCTAAGTTAATTGTATCCAGTTTACAAATTAATTCCAATTCAGCAGTCTCTCGTTGGAGTCTGTTTTTGAAGTTTTTTTGTTGAAGTATTGCAACTTTTAGGTCTGTAAATCGAGTGACCAGAGAGATTGAAGTGTTCTCCAACTGGTTTTTGAAAGTTATAATTCTTGATGTCTGATTTGTGTCCATTTATTCTTTTACGTACAGACTGTCCAGTATGACCAATGTACATGGTCTAGGGGCATTGCTGGCACATGATGGCATATATCACATTGGTAGATGTGCAGGTTGGGGGACTGTCTATAAGCAAGGACTGGCCTGTCTCCCAAGATCTGTGAGATATTCAAGTGGTGAGCTGGGATCCAAATCCAGGGCTCTTGGCTCAAGGTCCATCTTCCTCACCCAAAAAAACCATCTCAGTGACAATTAATAAAACCTCCTTTAACTATGGCAGCAAACAAAGGCTTCTATGTATCAAAATGCAACCCTAAACGTGGGCAGGAAAACAAAGAAGGCACATGGGGGGGGGGGGGGGGGGGGAAGAGTGTCTAGGACGAGAAGGTCCTTGGGACAGGGACCATCATTTTGCTCTGTATTTGTACAGCACCTAGCACAATGGTGTCCATGACGGGGTCTCTTAGTCACCACTTCAGCACAAATAAATAAAAAGAGGGTTGTGGCACAGGGCAGTAGCAAGAGTGTCTAATTTAACATCAAGACCCAGTTTCGAGGGGTTTAAAAAAGAATAATAATACAAATAAAAACCCAAGCAGGAATACCTGCCACAACAGGCCTCCGACAGGCCCATGTTCCTCCAGGGGACCTCCTTCCTGCAACGCTGACTCTCAACGCCAAGCCAGGGAGTTTTGTAGAGGGCTTCCCAGGACCCTTTGTGGGAGGAGAAGTCTTGCCCCCTCTCTCTGGGTGACTGATAGCCTAATGAACCAGGTCTTTTTCCCGCCCTCCAGGCTCTAAACAGCTTCACCCCCATTCCAAGAGTCATAAATGAAAGCCAGCAGGAGGAGAGCAATAATCTCAGGAAGCCACTGTTCAAGTTACTCTAGAAGCCCGTAGGGAGCAGCATGTGTGAGCAACCAGAGCTGAACGCTCAGCAGCTGTACTGCAGTGCCCGGCCCCCACCGTTACGGTTCTGCACCCAGCTTTTGCTACAGCCCACAGAGTTTTATGCTGAGAAGCCGATGCACATTTATGGAAAAACCATAAGCAGCTTTAACAAGATCCCCAACTAAACACTGAAACAAGAGGCCTCAATGCAAATCCAATCCAGATGCACTCCCAGATTTGTATTTATTTATCACTGACAGCTGATTTGCTTTCACCATGGATGACTTCTATGGAAATACAGAGAGGGGTCTTGAGTCACAGGTTATGAATTGGATTGACTGTTCCTTCCACCTGGCTGTGTTCAGGCCAGTGGTTTTCTTATGAATGAAGCCCAAAGAGGCTGTCCTTCCAGTGCCTCATTGACCCCAAGAATTCAAGTTTCTTCAAACAATCCGCTATGGCCTGAAATAGTTTTTTTTTTTTTTTTTTAATAAAGCCTTTTAAAAAAAATCAACACCCTACTGACAAATTGAACAGCTGAATGAAACGTTGATAAGTTAAAGAGCTCAGGTCTCCTAAGGGCATGCTGATGAGCATCCTCAGAAACTAATCCCCACATGTCATGGCAAATAATTCCCCTCCACCTGCTGCATCAACTTGTCAGGAGAAATGATGGTTAGTCTCTCAAGGCACGTAAGTGCTTTTGACAATGTTACCCCCGCACACACACACACCCTGCTTCTTTCTGTCTGTCAGCAGGGGCCTTGGCCACTCTGGTCTCCTAATATCTAGAAAAACTAAGTCCCATTTACTTGTAATAGGGTTCTGGCTCCTAAGGCTGTTGCATCATCACATTGTGATGCAATGAGAGACAGGGAAACCAGTTTGGTTCAAATACGACCCAGCCTGAAACTCAAATGGACATTTTTTATATAGGAGACAAGGTGGGTGAGGGAGCCCAGCCAGGACAAAGAGCTCTGTGCAGCTCGAAAGTGTGTGTCTTTCACCAACAGAAGTCTGTCCAATAAAAGATAGCTTGTCGCTCTAACATCCTGGGACCGACATGGCCACAGCACTGCAAACAACCTTTTAATATGGTCAAGAAAAGTTTGACCAACATTATTCTCCAGCTGCTCCCCACTACTGAGCTCAGGCCAGGACTGCAATATGGTGGCAAAGGCTGATCGTGGGGGTATTGTCCATGGCCTAACTGGCTGTAGAAAGTCTCACAGGAATGCCTTTACTTGGACCTTCCCAGTCCAGCTTGGGAGACTTGAGGGGTTGACTGACCCAGGATCTGACAACCTGGGTTTCTACCCTGACCTGCCATTTTGCCCCACATCTTCACATCACAGCATCACCAAGAAGTGACCAACAAGCATGGTCTCCAGAGACCTTTAGTGTCCTACAAGCCAGCCGTGAAGGACAAAGCAGAGCCTAGACAAATCAGAATTGTGGCACAAGGTCTGGGACAGACGTGGCAACCGCAGCGTCGGCTGGGAGTGCCTAATGTGCCTGGCACCAAGGGGGCTAAAGGGAGGAATCAAAGAGGGCTCCATATATCGTATCACCCTGGCTTCAAACATAAAACACCATTGAGAATACTTAGTCCTCCCATGAGTGCAGGGGACTGGACTAGATGACCTCTCAATGTCCCTTCCAGTCTTACGATTCTATGGATATGAGTGATTCCTTTGGCCCCACTGAAGGTATTTAGGCTTCTAACTTCCATTGAAACTGGAGGGACTTGGGAGCCTAAATACCTTTATGGATCTGGCTCTAGGTGGCCCATTCCTGCTGACTTAAGTGACTAATTCCCCAAAGGTCCTCTGAAAACATCAACCAGAGATGAACGAAGGAGCCAAAATTCAGATTCCAAAAGCCACTTCTCTCAAAAGTTTAGATCCAGGTTTTGGTTCCTGGGGAGGAAGCCTCTATTTACATAATCAGCAGCTGTGGGAGGAGAACAGAACATTTCCCTGTATGTGAGTTTTGTTCTTCTGATTTTTTTTAAAAAGCTGCTTGAGTTGGGTTAGGGGAGCTTAACACAAACGAAAACATTATTAGATATGAAACATCTGGACCCAAGAGAGTCTGCCCCAGCCTGAACCAGTGTGTCTCTGCCTTTAGGTTCACAGAACCAGTCCAGGCTATTGCTATAGAAACAGCCCAACACTTCCAGCTCTTGAAGCCAACCTGGAGTCCAGGCATCCACACAAGGGATGTCCAGCAGTGTCAACAGCAACTGAGCTGCTCACTCCGTTCCCCACGCCAATGATCTTGAACAGTGGTTCATGGCCGCAGGCCAGCTGCCCTGGTTCGGGGGCAAGGTGGGTCCAGAGGCAAGAGACATAGGAAGCTTTGGTATTATGTCCAATGTGGTTAAAACCTGAAGACCCAGTATCATATGGCAAGACAGGTTCCAAGATCTGTCTTTGAATGGGGTCAAGATCTCTATTTGAGACAGCTGGGGACCCCTGGTCTGACACTGAAGGAAGTGAGCTGATTCAGGGCGAGACCTTAAAACAAGAATTTGAGGAGGATGACTGAGGCAAGGGTAGAGAGGAAGGGCAGAGGCCCCACTATGCTGTGGTGGGCCCCAGAACGGCAGTGGTCTGTGTTCTGGCCAATGCAGGCGGCATAGGCCATGACGTGTGGGATGTAGTTCTGTTCATGTACTCCATGCAGGAGGTGGGCCATGGGGCCCTTGGCAAAGATCGCTACGTCCTCACCCCCATGGGTCTCCTGGCGCAGGGGCACAGCCGACTGGGCCTGGTAGTTGGCATGAGCTGCAAAGAACGAACAAACAGCTGTAAGAGACTGGGGAGTCAGACCACCGGGCTGGAGATTGGCACCCACTATCCACTGAGGAAAGGGCCTCCCCAGCTTCCATCCTGACATGACAGGCCACCTTTGAGAGGGGAGGGAGTTCAGTCTCCATGGCCCACTCAGACCATGGCCTCTCTGCTGAGTGCCCCAATGTGGAGCCCCTGTTAGTGGCAGTGGGTTTGGAACGTGGGCTCCGTCTCACTGGGAATTAGATTGGGACAAGCAATGCATTTTACATGAACCCAGTGGCATTAGCTGGTCCCTGACACATGCCCCCCCCATCCCCATCTTGCCAGCCCCCCAAACTCACCATAATCCACAGCGGACACATTCTCCCTCTCTCCGGCTACAATTTTGTACCCGGGGCCATTTCCGTACAGGATGGAGGTGAAGGGCATTTTATCCACATCGCTGTGCATTGGTGCTAGACCTGCGCGGGGATGAGCATGGTTAGCATGAGGGATGGTGACCATCGCTCCTCTACAGAAGAGGTCATGCTTGACTCCAATCCTGCCCTTTCCAGAGAGTATTTCTGCTGGGGAGGCATATCTCCAGGATTCCCTAGTTTATCTGCTCCAGCGCCTCACTCCAATCCTCTCTTTAGCCAAGGACACTGACTGGAGTGTCAGCCAGAGCTGTTTCTGCTACCCTGGGGCTGATCACATGCCCATCAAAGAGACCAAGCTCTGGTTCCCAAGTGAGAACAGGGAGAGGGGAAGTGTGGCACAAGAAATAGTCACTACAGCCAGTTTTCAGGGGTGAATAACTCAGGAGGCGGTCAAAGGTTTGATGTTTTTATAGTCCCACCTGCTCATAGCCCATGCAGCCATTCCACCCCACTGGAAGCTCATCAGCTCTCCTTGGCTAAGCAGGGTCAGTGCTGGCCAGCATTTGGATGGGAGACCCAACCAGACAACCCCGAGGTGTTGCAGCAAGCAGTACCGGTGATGCAGCATGGTGCTATGCTGCTGGAGGTCTTGCCTTCTGGAGATGGGGAGCCGAGATACTGAGCAGCTTGGTCATCGACTGCATGGAACCTTTGGCAAGAGTTGGAGCGTGAACTCATTTCATGTGCAACTGGAACCCTTACAGCAAGGGGAGGGATAGCTCAGTGGTTTGAGCATTGGCCTGCCAAACCCAGGGTTGTGAGTTCAATTCTTGAGGGGGCCATTTAGGGATCTGGGGCAAAAATTGGGGATTGGTCCTGCTTTGAGTAGGGGGTTGGACTAGATGACCTCCTGAGGTCCTTTCTAACCCTGATATTCTAGGATTCTATTTTCTTAACAAAAGAAGCCTCGTTTTTCTACTCTGCCCCTCTGAAAACCTCTTGCTCCAGTTCATCCCCACTGTTGCAAGGCTCCTACCCACAGCTGTGCTGGCAGGCCCAGACTGGGCATCTCATTTGCTGACAAATTGAATTAGTGGTTTTAATCAGAAAAGTGATTACTCCCCCACCCCCACTCCATCAGAAAGGAGAAATACGGCATTTTGCTGGGCTAGCTAAACAGCTGCTGTGTTTTGACCCAGGGTGGGTGGTGCGAGTCTGGGCTGCAGTAGAGAGGAGCTCCAGTACATCTGAAATCCAGGCCTCAAACCCAGAGAGTTTCGGGGTGTTCAGAACTGGGGTTTGGTTCTAGTCCACGGGCTCAGGGATCCAGGAGCTGGATCTTATGATGTGATTAGAAATCCATCCCCAATAACTAGGGGGTGGTAAAATTTCCCTTCACTTGGGGTCTTTATATCAAGATTGGAGGTCTTTCTAAACAGATGCACTCCAGGTCAGCCACAAGCCATGGGCTCAGGTGCAATGCAGGACTCTCTGGGGGAGTTCTCAGGCTTGAGTTACATGGGAGTCAGACTAGAGGATTGTAATGACCTTACAGTCTAGGAAAGCTGCCAGAGGTTTTGCCCTGGTTCTGACACTGGACACATTTCAATCACTGCTGTTTCAAGGGACATCACAGAATCATAGATCAGTGTTGGAAGGGACCTCAAGAGGTCATTCAGTCCAACCCCAGGTAATCATCCCAGCCAAGGCTTTGTCAATCCTGCAAGGCAGAGATGCCAAACAGTTCTCCAGCAGTAACGGTCCAGGTGCCACCATTTGGAGGCTGGCAGGTCTTCGGCTTGTGGGGGGAACCAATGGGTTAAACCCTTACCGAAAATGGGATTGCCGCGGGGTGTGTATCCACCAAAGGTGAAGACATGGGAGTGGTCAGCAGTGACTACGGTCAGCGTGTCCTCCAGGGACGTCATGCCACCAGCCTGGCCTATGGCTCTGTCCATCTCCACGGTCTCATACAGCGCGTGCTTGGCTTTCCCCTCATGGTGACCGTGATCGATCCTACCTCCTGGAAAGGGAAAAGCAAGAAGGGAACTGGTTGGACTAGAAACCTGAGAATCACCAATAACAGATCACACCTGGCTGTGCTCTTTCTTCCTGCTATCTTGGGCCAGGCCAATGGAGTCCAATATCCTTCCTCTTCGCTGCACCAGGCCAGTACCAATCCACTCTCCTGTCCCAACACCGGCCTGTGGCGGGTGCTGCACTGGAAGGTGCAAACCACGTTTACCGCACTTTACAGTGCGGCACAATAGGTCTGAGCTGTTATTTGGAGAACAGATGGAAGGAGCTGACAGGGAGAGAGCACGGGAAATACATCATCATTTCTATCAAGCCACTTCGAGGATCACATCCACAACTGAGTCGTCTCCGGCTGCTTCCCAAGGGACGTGCTGACTCAGATACCACGGCATACAGCAGACTCGCTATTAGAAGGAACACCCACACAGCAGGGATAGGTACTACCTCCTAGAGCCCTCAGGATGGGAGTTGCTAGGCTACAGTCTTGGTTCTGATGTGGTGAATATTCCTTACCACGAGCCCTCCATTCCTTCCCCTTCCAGGCCAGTAAAGGAAACCAACTTCTCTTGACTGAAAGGTGTAATCCGGGGCCAGCATTACCTGCACTTCAGATGCTAGAAAGGGAGGCTAATGCAGTTAAGCTAGGAGTTTGTGGGCCAGTATCAGACCAGTGCTGGTATTTACCCATGTCCACGGTCTCCCTCTCCCTTGGGAGCCGTGGGCTCTGGGACCCATTGCCTACATACTAGGCTCTCCCCACAAAGCAATTTCCATCTGTTCCCTTGTAGGGCAAATGGCTGGGGAACTTGCTCAGCTCCTTTCCTGACTTGTGAAGCAATGGTGGGTGCAACAGGGGTGGGTTTTGCCCACTGTCACTCGACTCCAGAACTGTTTCATCACCCTCTCAGAGAGGCACATTCAGGTCAGAAGACAATAGCAGCCCTCCAGTAACAGGCCCGTGTCCTCAGCACAGGATGGGAAGCTCAGCCTCACGGGGCACTGGTAGTCTGGAGACACTGGCTCTCACCTTCTACCAGCAGAAAGAATCCTCGGGGGTTTCTCTGGAGGATTTTGATGGCCACCTGCACCATCTCCGTCAGGGAAGGGTCTGTCTGGACATTCCTGTCTAGCTCATACATCATATCCATTGGCTCGAAGAGGCCTGCAAAAGGGAGAGGACATGTCAGCTATGCACCATGTTTTGATCTTCATGAGGCCTCAGATCCATGTGCTACCAATTCCGATTGAGGAAGCAAGGCTGTACCAACATGATCACCAAAGTTTTTCACAGAATAATGATCCCTCATGGGCTCTGCTACCCTCCCACCTCTCTCTGCCACCAGGAGCTGGACACATTCTGGCAGAGTAGCCAGGCGTTTTGACCCCCAGTCCATTGCTCTGCTCACTAGGCAGCACCACCCTGGAGGTATGAGATAGCGTATGTATACCGCAGTATGAATCATAGAATATCAGGGTTGGAAGGGACCCCTGAAGGTCATCTAGTCCAACCCCCTGCTCGAAGCAGGACCAATTCCCAGTTAAATCATCCCAGCCAGGGCTTTGTCAAGCCTGACCTTAAAAACCTCTAAGGAAGCAGATTCTACCACCTCCCTAGGTAACGCATTCCAGTGTTTCACCACCCTCTTAGTGAAAAAGTTTTTCCTAATATCCAATCTAAACCTCCCCCACTGCAACTTGAGACCATTACTCCTCGTTCTGTCATCGGCTACCATTGAGAACAGTCTAGAGCCATCCTCTTTGGAACCCCCTTTCAGGGAGTTGAAAGCAGCTATCAAATCCCCCCTCATTCTTCTCTTCTGCAGGCTAAACAATCCCAGCTCCCTCAGCCTCTCCTCATAACTCATGTGTTCTAGACCCCTAATCATTTTTGTTGCCCTTCGCTGGACTCTCTCCAATTTATCCACATCCTTCTTGTAGTGTGGGGCCCAAAACTGGACACAGTACTCCAGATGAGGCCTCACCAATGTCGAATAGAGGGGAACGATCACGTCCCTCGATCTGCTCGCTATGCCCCTACTTATACATCCCAAAATGCCATTGGCCTTCTTGGCAACAAGGGCACACTGCTGACTCATATCCAGCTTCTCGTCCACTGTCACCCCTAGGTCCTTTTCCGCAGAACTGCTGCCTAGCCATTCGGTCCCTAGTCTGTAGCGGTGCATTGGATTCTTCCATGCTAAGTGCAGTATGCATTGGGATGTGGGCTGTGTGGTGTGACGGGGCATGTAACTGAGAAGCGGGTGCAGGGTTCAGATTAGATTTTCCTCTGAATGGGTCAGCAGCCTACTATGGACATAAGGATTGATTGGCAATCCCTCAATTCAAGGATGTTCTCTACCACGGATTTACTATGGGCCCTGAGATGACCCAGAATTGGACTCCTGAAACTTCAAATCCGCCTGCAGTAGGTACAGACATTTCATGGCAGGCCAGCTGCCTGCTGGGAGAAAAAGTTCTCTCTTTTCAGCTTCAAGGGCTAGGCGCCTCTCCTCGAAGTGGGCCACTGCCTAATGGAAGATATGGTGCCAGTGGGGTCAGTTGGTGGCTTGCTCCTCCCAGCTTGTGATGCCTACATCAGTTTTCTTAAGATACAAAGACACTGAAAGCGTAGCACAGAAGTTCTCAAACATCATTGCACCGCAATCCCCTTTTGACAACAAAAATTACTACAGGACCCCAGAAGCCCGGGAGTGTGGGGGACGTGCGCAAAGCCAAAGCCCCACCTCCCCAGGCAGGGGACCTGTAATCTGAGTCCTGTCACCCAGGGCTGAAGCCCTAGGGCTTGGGCCCTGGGCCCCAGCAAACCAGCCCTGGTAACCCCATTAAAAAGGGGTCGGGACCCACTTTGGGGTCACAGAATATCAGGGTTGGAAGGGACTTTAGGAGGTCATCTAGTCCAACCCCCTGCTCAAAGCAGGACCAATCCCCAATTTTTGCCCCAATCCCTAAATGGCCCCCTCAAGGACTGAACTCACAACCCTGGGTTTAGCAGGCCAACGCTCAAACCACTGAGCTCTCCCTCCCCCCCATCCTGACCCACAGTTTGAGAACTGCTCTAGCATTTCCTCCAACTACCATGGGAACTCTGACCATTGGTGAGCTGAGAGTAGAGGACTTTTTTTTGGGAGGTGAGAGTCTGGCATCTGCACACAATGTCCAGCCCAGCGAAGTTGGTGCATGAGGATCATTGCTTCAATGCTGGCGACATTGGCTTCAGTGAGGATGCTGGCATTAGTGCAGCAATCTTGCCACTTGATGCAAAGTGTTTTCCAGAAGCATTGTTGGTGGTACCCCTCCAGAATCTTGAGGTGCTGTCAATCGATCACCCGGGTTTTACCCCCATAAAGGAGTGTAGGAACAACAATTGTCTTATAGACCTGGATCTTGGAGTCCTGCCATAGGTCACAGTCTGTCTCTGTCAACTGTGATGCCCTGTGGAAAGTGCTGACCAAATTTGGCTGCGCTCCAAAATTTCTTAAGATCAGATGACTGCCATGGTTCTCTGTAATGGCCTTGAGATGGAATCTTTCGTCATCAAAATCGGGGTTAAGCAAGGATGTGTTATTGCCCCAACCCTGTTCTCCATCTATTTAGCAGTCATTTTGGTCAGCTGACATTCAATACAAAATGGATGGGTGGCTCTTTAATCTTTGACGTCTCCGCTCAAAGTCTAAAGTCTTCAGGGCGTCCATTACTGATCTTCAGTATGCAGATGACTGCCATCTTCGCGCACACTGAGAAGGACCTTCAGTCCACACTGGATTTTCTTGCATAAGTTTACCGAAGCCTAGGGCTCTCACTTAATACTGAGAAGATTAAAGTGCTCTATCAGCCTGCTTCAAGGCCTTGCACACGACCCACCGCAAATCACCATCGAGAGTCAGACTTTGGAGACAGTTGAGCACTTTTGCTACCTCGGTAGCTAACCTTCTCAAAAACACAAAAATAGACAGTGAAATCCAGCATGGGATCCAGTGTGCAAGTGCTTCCTTTGGGAAATTGCTTCAACACGTTTTATGGATGTAATTTTGTGTGTGTGTGACCATACCCTGCTTCAACAGCAGCACATCACAGACAGGCCCAGAACTGTGCTTGGAGGCCAATGGGGCCTGGTACAGATCAGAGACACACATCCACATTTCTGCTGAGTCTCTGCAGTATTTTACAGGTGCACATTTTCCCTGGGACTCCAGATTTGTGCTCCCACTGTGCACTCATCCTCCATGCTCACACTGCCTGCTCATTCACTGCTGCAGCTACTTCCAGCTGCCTCTTTGCCCCCAATCCTAGCAACTGGCTCAGATGTACCAAGTCCCTGCTACATGCAGTAATTGGTGTCGCTTGGCTCCATGAGACATAACTGCTGAAAGAGAGCCCAGCAGATCCATATGGATCTGACAAGCAGAGGAGGTAGGACACGTGTTGCTGGGGTGGAGCAATTGTTGGAGGCCCACATCACACTCAGATCCTCAGGGACAGGGGCAGTGACTCTCCTGAGGAGTGTATCTGACAATCAGACACCTTCTTACTTAGTGCAATCTATTGCTCTGGTTACCCTCCTGCCATACTCCAGCGGACTCCAATCTGCTCCTGGTGATAATGGAGCCCGGGGGCAGCTTCGCTTTGTGTCAGGATTCCTCCCTATTGCTCCCTGCTAATGCTGGCTCTTTGCTCCACCGTGTGGCCTCTAGGGAATCCTGCCTTCTAGCCAAAAATGGGTTAACGAGATGGCCGCATGCCTTGTCTCAGTAACCAGGGAGCCAGCAGGAAATGTGTGCCCAAACACTGTATGTAAGAGTTTGTTCACGCCGACCTGTTTGGTTCCTCAGATGCAGCTCAGGAGGATGGAAGTGGCCAGAGACTGCAGCAAACACCCTGCAGATATCAAAAGCTTCAGCAGCTCCGGAGAGAGAGGGGCCTACACAGCCAGATGCTTTGCACATGTGCCATCCGGCTCTGGAGCTGATGTAGGGAGACGCCAAGGTGAGATCTCCCTGTGTCTGCATCTCCTGAGGGGCCCAAGCATTTGGAACCAGACTCAGAAAGCAAACGGAGCCGCCTGGAGAAACAGGTTCCTGGATTGGTTTTCTTATGCTCATAAAAATGGGGCAGTCATCACTGACTGCTGGGGTAAGTACTAAGACAATCTATCCGGAAGTTGGCAGAGGCATGAAGCAGGTACATGTGAACACACCCTCCACGTGTACCCGTGCACACACTTGGCCCCGTATGTACATGAACACGCACGGCACAGTGAACATCTGAAGAAACCTGCTACACCAGAATCTGTCGAGTCATGGCTGCGCAGGGACCTCCATTTTAAAAAGCAGCCTGAGCTGTGGCTCCAAATGCAAGTTCTAGGAGCCCCTGAACCCAAGGGGGCTGCCATGTGGGCCACTGCACAGGCAGAGCGAGGAGCTGTGGGAATTGGAACCTGTGGGGATGTGGGGGACTGCGGTTCAGGCCCATATAGAACAGCTGATGCGTCGTTGACGCTCACAGCCGACTTAATGGGGTGGAGAACTGCAGCCTTTCCCTGGAAGGCTCTCTCCACTCCACGACAGGGGCCAGCCTAGCACTGGACTGGACATTGGCAGGGCTGCAGGTTTGTCAGAGTGAAAAAACTCCCAGACAGTGACTGTCCCGTTTGTCTGACGTTTTCCTCTGTTCAAGGCTCACCCCACAGTGGCAGCTCCCGTGTCCCATGGGGCTAGGCCCAGCACCCTGTCCCTGGTACTGCGACGTGGAGCACCTCAGCCTCCATTGTGATGGGAAGGCAGTGCCAGTCAGGCAAGCCAAACAGAGCAGCCCTGTGTGCCAGGTTGCAATGCCCAGAGCACAGCGCTGGGCTCAGCCCCGCAGAACCCAGGAGTCACTGCTGTGGGGCAAGTGTGGGAGGGCTCACTCTCCAGTCCTTCTCCATCCCTGGCCTCCCCTCTTACCTGGGGGTTGTGGTGCCGGGCGTGGAGGGTGCGGCTGTGGATCATCATTGCCCCCCTCAGCGGGGTGAGGAGAGGGCATTTGTTAGCAAAAATCAGAACAGTTGTGGTAAATTCAGTAACACAGCACTTTGACTGAAGTTACCGGCACTCCCCTGCGATTCTTGATAACAAATGCTGTGGCAAATCTGCAGCCCCAGCCACTAGTTTCCAAAGCCATGGTTGCTAGCACTTTGGTAGCAATGTTCTCTGAAAGAAGGGACAAGGACTCTTGCAGCCGTGCTCGCTAGGCCAGATCATCATGCCCAGGCACTCCATGGGTTGGTTTTTGAGCACACTGTGTAACCACATCAGACACAGATGCTTGTGAGGCTGCAGCTGCATTTGAAAAGTGTTTCCGACCCAGTTGTGAGCTGTAGCATAACCAAGAGGCCCAAAGGGGTTGTTTGACTCGGCAAGAGCTAGTGGCCATCCCCCTTCCTGCCACTTTCCCACTGTGCTTCTCTTGGATAACAGGAGCCCATAACAAGGAGAACACATCCCAAATTCAGATGGGAAGTGGGCCAGGTCCATAGGTTCTCCTCCACCAAATTTCAGGGAGTCAGGAGCCCCCTCCCTTTTCTGTGTAGCTAGATGGGAATGGGTCCCTCACAAAGCCCATGTTCTGATGGAACATGGTCACAGGGTGGAAGAGGTGGAGTGCCATGGCCATACAGAAGGAGCCTAATTCCTTTCAAGCCACAGGCATCCTTTGCAGACTTGCGGGTACATATTGCCCTCAATACGCATGACTGGATGTACAAACAGCAGCTACACGCACACAGTGGGAAAGGTCCTGTACAAATACTCAGCTTTTTCAGCTCCCTGCATTTTATAAAAATCAAAAAGTCCCTCCTGCCTGCAAAAGATATCTTCCCTCCAGCCCCCAATTGCTGTGTGGTTCTGCTCTGTTCCTCTCCCTCCACCCAAGGAGCAGTTGTGGGCCAGCTCCTCAGCTAGCCAGCAGCTCTGTAGCTGCGATGCATAATGCAAGGTCTCTAAGCTCTGCTTTCCCACGCTTCTGGGGTGTGACAACTGGTTTGATGTTGCCTGGGTCACAAGGCATAACACAGCATGCCACTCCACATAGAATACTGGCACTGCAGAGGTGACTTGGCTGCTAATAGGACATTAGCACCTCCTAACCATGCTGCTGCTTTCTGTCACTGTGCAGAGCCTGGAACGGGGAGCAGCAGTGAAGGAGATGTGATCTCTCCCCGCTGCATCTAGAAGTATGCTGTTGAAACAGCAGGCTAGAAGACAGGCAGACTCCAGCCACCCACCCAGGGCTGGCACTAAATGCCCCTTTCCCTGCCTCAGGGGTTGGCTCAGCACTTGGGAACAGCTAGGTTTGTGGGTATTAGGTAAGAAGATTCTTCAGTGCACACTTAGTCTTTCTGGTCAGGTGTTTTCAGTCTTTTCCAATGCTGAGGGAATCCTTCGTCCTAGTTCCCTGCGCCAGGCAAGGACCATAGAGAATAGAAGCAGAGAAACCCTAATGGGTTACAGTCCATCAGTCCCTGGCAACACAGGATACTTCCCTCTCGTTGTGGCTCTCTGCCTTTCCCCTAATGAACTCACCTCCCTTCTCCCATGTACCCTATAGTAGAAAGAGGGCCTGAGACTTGAGGCCTTGTGTCAGAGGCCTGGTACGAGGTCTCAGGCCTGAACTAAAGTTAAGTTATGAGCAAGAGGCACACTCAAGAGGCCCTGCTCACAGAATTTGGCAAGAACAGGGCTGATATTGCAGAAACACACATTCTTAAGAATATATACACAAGCATTCCAGAAAGGTACTAGAACACCTCAATACCAGACACATTCCCCAAAAGAGAACAGGAACACACTGACCCATCCTAAAGATAAGGTCATGATAACACCATGATGGATAGAGACGTTTTGATCGAACCAACAAGTACAAGGCAATGGGTGGACATCAGAGGGTGGCACCCAGATACGTCGGAGCTGGCACATAGCTACGTCAGAGGGGCAATACGTAACTTGTTTGTACTGGGGTATAAAGAGGTATCGCTGAGGCGGTGTTGGGGTCTGGACGACGGGAGAATGGAAAGTCCCGCCATTCACCGACCCAGTCCATTGTCACGAGCCTACATGGTGTTAGTGTATCATTGAGTTGGGGCATTAGCACTGTCCTTCGTCGGCAATAAACCTGACCAAGTTCCTTTGCTGAAAACGGTGTCTGGATTTAGTGGGTAGCTCAATCAGTCTGCTATCTCTGCGGACAGGGCTGGCTCTACAGTTTTTGCCGCCTTAAGCAGTGAAAAAAAAAACAAAAAAAACCCTGCCTCCGTGGATGGCAAAAGGGAAGAAGCTGCCGCCGATCGGCCACCGTGGCTGGAAGAGCTGCTGCCCCTTCGAACTGCCACCCCAAGGACCTGCTTGGAACGCGGGGGCCTGGAGCCCGCCTGCACGCAGAGCTGAGATAGCAGAGAGAGCACACGAGCGAGAGCACACACACAGCCGACATCTGACCATACCTCCCTTTTAGCAACAAGGGAGGGGCAGGGTGGCCTTGCCCCTTGCCACCCAACCAGAGATTTACAAAAGTGCCTAAGGGAGCTAGGTGCCTAACTGCCATGGACATTCACTGGCAACCAGGTACTTAACTTGCTGAGGAGCATTCACAAATCCCACTCGGCACCCATCTGCATCTCCAGGTGCCTGAACACCCTCGTAAATCTGTCCCACAACTCACCAATTTTCACTTAGCTCCCTCACCTCTGACCTTTGCCTTAGATACTCACCTAAGAGGAAGTCCACCTCCATCAGGTTGAGAGACAACAGGTCACTGCGATTCCAGACGTACTGGGCATTCTAAGGGAGAGCAATGGAACAGCAGCTGGTTTGTACACTTCTTTATAGAGGGGGATTAGAAATAAGACATACATTTATCAGGGAGGGGAATTAACCACTAGAAACAATTTCCCAAGGTTTGTGGTGGTTTCTCCAACACTGGCAATTTTAAAATCAAGACTGGATGTTCTACAAGATCTGTTCTAATTCAAAACAGGAATTATTGTGGAGAATTTTTCTGGCCTTTGCTATGCAGGCAGGCAGACTAGATGATCACGGTGGCTACTTCTGCCTTTTGAATCTAGAAGCCATAGGTATTTCCCAGATATGGTATTTGCCATATGTATTGCACTCACAGAGAACATCTGCCATATATCCCAGATATATGCATCAATAACTGCCCAGACAACTTCACAGGCATGAAAATCAGGCAACTTTGCCCTCTTTAACACATTTATCTTGTATCTTAGTAAATGTATTTTATTGTGCAATGAATGTTCATCATAATGAGGATCTTAAATTCATTTAGCAACTTGGATCCCAAAGCATGTCACAAACTACAGATATTGTAAGCTCTTTAAGGTTGGACTAATCATTTTCTATTCATTTGTATGGTGCCCAGCACAATGGGGTCTTGACCTGGTTGGCCTCTTGGTGCTACTGCAGTATAAATGTTACTTAATAGACACACAGCTACAGAAAGCGGCATAGAAATGCAGCCACCTCTGGGGTGGAGGGCAACAGTCAAACAGAACAGTGGCATGGGGGATTTTTTGATCAAGAAGTGAAATCGGATCTTTAGTTTCTCCAGAAAATTGACTGGACCTATTCAGAGGACTCCTGTGGAAAATAAAACAAATAAAGCACCCAGCACAGGCACCTCAGGAGCACTCAGCGTTGGCCCAACTCTGCTCCGAGTGACAGAACTCCCCTCAGTGCCGCTGAATAAGAGGTCGGCCAAAGTGGAGCACTTTTTGAACATCCCACCCATAAAGTTTAAGCTCAGAGCAAAGTTTGGCAGCCCTAGTACAAGGCTCAGAACATGCAGAGGCTTTGGGTTCAACGCACAAGATTGGGATTCAGGTTTGGATCCTACAGCACTAAAATCCCACTAGCCATTCTCACAAGGTTTTGGCCCAAAGCAGCAGAAAAATAAATGTAACAAGATTCCCAGCAGTTGACTAGCATGAGGCTGTAGTCTCCTCAGAACTGGAAAACTGGGCCCTCTTGAGTTTGGTTCTGCCCTGGAACCAGGGGGTTGGAGCAAAGGCTAATGAGGGTTGATAGCAACAATGCCCATAGATTTGCCAGTGCTGTAGAGAGAGGGACTTCTGGTCCAGATCCTGAAATCAGATCCAGGTGGGTGGCCCCTGTACCTGTGCTGACCATCATGTTGCTTATAGGAGCTGCCATGAGCAAACAAACCCATGTGTCTCCTTCCCTTCCACCCACATCTCAGCCTCAGACACTAAATGATGGGGAGACCCTCAAAGGTCTGAAGGTTTGTGATAAAATGAAGTGCGTTGGCCGGGGGGGGGGGGGGGGGAGGAGAGCTCCCTTTTATGAACACCCAGCCAGCCAGTTAGTTGTAAAATCCCTCTTGATGTCTGTTCTCTGCTTGCTTTACCTGTACAGGGTTAACAAGCCCACAGGTAACATGAAATGAGTGGGCACCTGACCAAAAGAGCCAATGGGAAGGCTAGAACTTTTAGAATTGGGAAAGAAAACTTTCCCTTTGTTGTTCTCTGGGCTGGAGGGACATGGACCAGCAATGCTGTGTAAGGTTTGAACCAGATATGAAAAAGAAGAAATGATTTGGATAGGAAATATTTAGACAGAATCAGGTTTCTTTCTTATTTTGGCTTGTGGATCTCCTCTGTGCAAACCCCTGATGCTTTTGTTTGCTTGTAAGTTTTAAGCTGAACCCCCAAGAAAGCTAGTTTGGGTTCCAGGTGTATTTTTTTCCTTTTTGTTTTTTTAAAAAAATTACCTTTAAGAGCAGGATTGGATTTTTGGTGTCCTAAGAGGTTTGTGCATGTTGATTGATTAGCTGGTAGCACAGCTAATTTCCTTTTTCTCTTTCTCAGCTCTTCCCCAGGGGGGAAGGGCTCAAGGGTACCCCACAGGGAGGAATTCCCAAGTGTTCCTTCCTGGGTCCAAAGATTTGGGGGTTTTTTTGCATTTGGGTGGTGGCAGTGATAACCAAGCCAAGGTCAGAGAAAAGCTGTAACCTTGGGAGTATAATACAAGCCTGGAGCAGACAGTATTAATTTTTAGACTCCTTGCAGGCCCCCACCTTCTGCACTCTAAGTGCCAGAATGGGGATTCAGTTTTGACAAGGTTCCATTCAGTTCAGATGCTTCTCCTGTGTGCCTTGGCCTAGGGAGGCTTTGCCATGAGATATCCTGGTTTGGGCTGAGCCAGAAATACCCTGAGCTAAGCCTCTTACATAAGGCAGGTTTCAGGGCTGGTCCTGGCAAAAGCCAGTACTGAGCAGCATGGGGGAAAAGGAGACAAACGTCACCCAAACTTTGACCATCAGGCAAGGCTCCACTTTGGGTTATGCCAAGATTCAGGCCAGCTCAACCTTCTCCAGACACAGCATGCTTTATGGCTGCTCCCACCACACCGAGGGAAGAGAAAGTTCCTTCCGCTTGACTTCACAGAGGGATTTTAAACATGCCTGGGGCCAATCCTGCTCTCCTAGCTCTAGCCATTGCAGCCGGACTGCTAGCCCCCTTCCTCACCCAGATGCCCTCTGCTAGCCAAGATACCCCAGAAGAGTGACTGCCTGCTCCTAAATAGCCAGGCAGCACCAATGCCACTAACATGGAACCTCCCCTTCGGGGCACAAGCAGCAGAAGAAACAGACTCCCTTTGAGTCTGAGGGAGGCCAGGATACACCAGCTGGTCTTAGTAAAACTCAAATGTTCCCAGTGGTTTATGTCCCAGCTAAATCATAATCAATGGAAGAGAAAAGCAGTTTCCATTGGATACAGAATTTTCCAATGTTCCTTCCTCTGAGCTGCCATGCAGTCTTGCCATGGGCTGTTCAATGGCCATTGAACACCCCCCCAGACATGGCTGCAATTCTGCTGCAGCAAAGCGACTCCCGAGCATACTAGCCAACAGCTGGTAAAAGCCCATGGGATCCTTTGTGATTAAAGGCACTATGTGAGTGGGTGAGCACAACTGAACCCCGAAAAACAGGAGCTACAATAAGAAACCTAGCACTCAGAGAAGGCAGAACGAGTGTTATGGAGAAGCAAGGGGTATGGTCAGACAGGCAGCATCACTGATATTCTTCAGACTAGAGGCTACATTCATTCTCAGCTCAGATCTGATCAGTTGGGATGGGGATGGGAGCGTGGAAGGTCCTCTTTCCCTGACCAAAGCCTCATGCAGTGGCAGCCTCCCCTGGCTAAGACCTGGATGTGCTTCTTCTCTGAGCCCATCCAAGCTGCTCCAAAGGCTGCTCCAGATACACCGGGTAGTGCGGTCTCCTTCCCAGCGCTGTAACAACTGGAGCGACAGAGGAGTTCAGGGCTCAGGCTTGGATCAGGGAGTGAGCTGGTGTGTTTGCAGAGCTCCCTAAGGCTGCTGCAGGACTAATTTCAAAAGGTCCCTCCAGAGGGTCTGGGGATTTTCAGAGAGTTTTCCCGCACACAATTATCATCCCTTAGACTGGAATAACCAGCCCCATTTGTCCTCTGCCGACTCCTGTTTTCACTCTCAGTGGATGCAATGTGGGCACTTAAAACTGAAGCCAGTTAGAAATCTAAATTCCATCAACATCAAAGCTGTTCAGACTACCAGGGCTCACTGCTGTCTTCAGGCATTCATCCACCATAATTTCCAGTCTCTCTCCCTCTCCCTCATCCCCCAGCATCCCCATCTAAGCAGGCCTGGTCTACACTAGAAAATTAAGTCATCTTAACTGCATTGCACAGAGTGTGAAAAATCCACACCCCTAAGCAATGCAGTTAAGCTGACCCAAGTCCCTGTGTGGACAGTGCTAAGTCAGTGGACGAATGTTGACCTAGCTACTGCCTCTTGGGGAGGTGGATTACCTGCACTGACGGGAGAACCCCTCCTGTCAGCATAGAGGGTCTGTGCCGCTATAGTGTTTAAGGTGTAGACAAGCTGCACACAGAGAAGTGATAGATTTTGAGACAGAGCTCTCAATCCCAGTACAGCACGTGCAGGAAATTCCAGACAACAGCTCAGAACTGGGTTTGCCACGACATCTGCTTGGGAGGCTGTATTAGGACAAAGTCGTCTTTCAGCACTGGGGATACTATCTAGTTAGGCAGTGGAGCATACAAAGAGAGGCAGGTTGGTCCAGTGGCTAGGACACTGGCTTCAGAGGCCTAGGTTCTATACCAACCTCTACTGAGTGAGCTTAGCAAGTGGCTTCACCCCCTCCCACCCTTTATTTGTCTTAGCTATTTAGTCTGCAAGCTCTTCCTGTGTGTTTGTTCAGTGGGGTCTTGACTTCAGGACTTCTGGAATATAAATAAAAACCATACAGGCATCTAGGGTCTTCTGCAAAGATTAGCTCCAAGCCTGGGTAAGAGGGGTGACTGGAAAAACTGGGTGGAAGCTGGCAACAGCCCTCTTTGTAATCAACAGCCCCCCATCGATATTCCAGCAGCAAAGATACTATGGTTCTGACAGCCACACAGATCTCTAGAGAGACAGCAAGGTGCCGATGGGACAAAGTCTCTGGCCAAGAAAGGTCAAAGGCAGCTGGGCTCATCTGTGTTACTCTAAAGAGATACCAGGTGGGTGAGGTAATAATTTTTATTGGCCCAACAAACCAGAACAAAACAATAAAACAGAAGTTGTCCAATAGAAGATCTCACCTCACCCACCTGGCCTCTCTAATATTCTGGGATGGACACCACCACAGCAACACTGCGAACTCTAAAGAGAAGTACTTTTATGCTGAAACTCAGGAACGTTCCTTTCTTTCGTTCGTGCCCTGGGTGTCCAGATAGCAGTTTCTTAGAGCACCTTTCATCCTGAAGGACCCTCAACGGTGGGCCAGGCGCTCCCAAGCTGTAATCCTGGCTGCACTGCTGACTCACTGTATGATCCTGGGTGAGACTCAGCGCCTGTCTGCCTCGGTTTCCCCATCTGCCTCCCTGTTGATATCTGTAGGACACAGCTCCTCATTTGGATGGAAGGTGCCAGACAGAACTGTAAACACTCCCCATTCCTGGCAGGGGCTGTGGAGGTTAGTTACTGACTGTGAGGGTTTTGAACAAGGGAAGTGCTACATCAGCAGGATTATTTCCCTATCTTTGGACATGAGCTTGAACCAGAGATCCCCGAGTAAAGAATCTTTAAAACTGCAGCCCCTCTGGCCTTGATCCTCTCCCCAGACATCTCCCTCCCTCCCCTTTACCTTGTCTTTAGGTTTCTTATCTCTCCAGACATCAATGAGGTTTTTGCCATCCAGACGAGTGCCCCTGTACTTGTCATCATCCCGGTATTCCACATCACTGGTGTTCTTTGGAAACATGTATTTCCGGCCACCTCCCATGATCACCTAGGGCAGGGCACAAAAAAAGAACCCAGTTTCCATTCAGCCACACCAGAGTATTTCAGCGATCAAGCATGTTAACCCTTTGGTTAACCGGACACCGGTTTTCAGTTCCCTCTCTGTTCCTGTCTCAGGGTTCTGCTCTCTGTCAGTATGTGGACAGAGACATGCTTGCAGTCTCACCGGGATGCAGCATAGTTTAGTGGAGGGATCAGGAGGCCAAGAACTCTTGGGATTCCAGCTCTGTGACCTGGAGCAAGTCACTTCAACTCCCTGTGCATCAGTTCCCCCCCCCCCCGTCAATCTATAAAATGAAGCTGATGATACTGGCCTACTTCCCTGGATGGAGGGGGTAAGGTTTAATCAGTTACTGGGCTAGACCTCAGTGTAGCACCATGATCAATTTACAGCAGCTGAGAATCTGCCCCCCTATCTGTCGTACATTAATCAGAGCACCTCAGAGCCCTACTCACAGGGTCACCAGGATTAAGACGGCTGCTAAAATGCCATCCACTGTCATGTGAATTTTACAGCCCTTGGGACTTAACACTCCTAGATGCAATTGTTGAACTAGGAATGGACACCAGCAGCTTGTCCAGTGGGCACAGGCGGGCAGAACAGGAAAATGCACCAAACCACTGTCTGCAGATTAGCTGGCAAAGGTGTGACGGCACCTAGTCTCTTTCTCTCCCCCATTCTTGCAAAAATCATCATTAGAGGAATGGATCATCAGCGAACCTGTCTGTCCTAGATCTGCCACAGGAAAGCAGGACCCGGGATTTTCCTGACTGATGGGGAAGGCTGAATCACAAGCCTAGACTTTAGCCTTCTGAATATTTAAGCATTTGGACTGACTGGTCTGAATGGCCCTTGTACTCAATGGGTTCCTGACGTGAATGCGGAGAGACCAGCACTAGCTAATGAACCCAGTAGCCTGGCCCAGAGCACCCAGCTCACCACGACCTCTGGCTGTTGCTCCCAAGACACCCAGGTCACTTACAGTGACCACAGCAGATGCTTGTTGCAAGGTGCCAGCCAGCTGTGACCTGGAAGGGGGACATGGCTCGCTGCAAGGCTTGGGCTTTATTAGAAATTATTCCTGGACTCCATGCAAAAACTCCTTGGTGGCCGCACACAGAGCGCCACTGGCCCGAGCAAACGCCGGCTGCAAAGCCCCATTGCTGCCTCTACCAGCCAGGGCCAGGAACAGCATGTGCTGCCTGCCATTACAGTCGCCCGTTCACATCCCCGTCCCACGGGTCCCAAGGGAGGGGAGGGCATCACGTCCCTGGTGCCCCACACACCGCTTACGCCAGGGTGCCTCTGCCCCAGCGCGGGAGGCCTAACCGCTGCAGGCCGCAGCCTTGCGCAAACAGGCATCCTCGCCACAGGGGCGCGGCCTGCTCCTGAACGGGGCACTCACGGTGCTGAGCAGGAGCATTCGGGAAAGGGACCATATTGGTTTTTGCTTCTCTGGTGTATTTGGGGGTTTTTTTATTGCTGTTTTAAAATGAGAGAGTAACAGCCAAGGAGGGGGTGGGAAAATAAATATGGTGACAGATGTGGAAAAAGCTGAAGTACTCAATGCTTTTTTTGCCTTGGTCTTCACAGACAAGGTCAGCTCCCAGACTGCTGCACTGGGCAACACAGCATGGGAAGGAGATTAGCAGCCCTCAGTGGTGAAAGAACAGGTTAAGGACTATTTAGAAAAGCTGGACATGCACAAGTCCAGGGGTCCAGATCAGATGCATCCAAGGGTGCTGAGGGAGTTGGTTGATGCGATTGCAGAGCCCTTGGCCATTATCTTTGAAAACTCATGGCAATCGGGGGAGGTGCCAGACAATTGGAAAAAGGCAAATATAGTGCCCATCTCTAAAAAAGGGAAGAAAGAGAATCTGAGGAACTATAAAATCAGTCAGCCTCACTTCAGTCCTTGGAATAAAAATCATGGAGCCTCAAGGAATCCATTTTGAGGCACTTGGAGGAGAGGAAGGTGATCAGGAACAGTCAACATGGATTCACCCAGGGCATGCCTGACCATGCCTTCTATGATGAGATAGCTGGCTTTGTGGATATGGGGAAAGTGGTGGATGTGATATACCTTTAGCAAAACTTTTGATATGGTCTCCCACAGTATTCTTGCCAGCAAGTTCAAGAAGTATGGATTGGATGAATAAATAAGGTGGATAGAAAGCTGGCTAGATTGTTGGGCTCAACGGGTAGTGATCAAGGGCTCACTGTATAGTTGGCAGCCAGTATCAAGCGGAGTGCCCCAGAGGTTGGTCGTAGGACCAGTTTTGTTCAACATCTTCATTAATGATCTGAATGAGGGATGGACTGCACTCTCAACAAGTTTGCAGATGACACTAAACTGAGGGTAGGGATAGTGTCCAGAGTGACCTAGACAAATTGCAGGATTGGGCCAAAAGAAATCTGATGAGGTTCAACAAAGACAAGTGCAGAGTCCTGCCCCTAGGATGGAAAAATCCCATGCACTGCCATAGACTTGGGACTGAGCGGCTAATTGGCAGGTCTGCAGAAAAGGACCTAGCGGTTACAGTGGACGAGAAGCTGGATATGAGCCAGCAGTGTGCCCTTGTTGCCAAGAAGGCCAATGGCATATTGGGCTGCATTAGTAGAAGCATTGCTGGCAGATCGAGGAAATTATTCCCCTCTATTTGGCACTGGTGAGGCCTCATCTGGAGTATTGTGTCCAGTTTTGGGCAACGGAAATGATCAGGGGGCTGGAACACATGACTTATGAGGAGAGGCTGAGGGACCTGGGATTGTTTAGTCTGCGGAAGAGAAGAATGAGGGGGGATTTGATAGCTGCTTTCAACTACCTGAAAGGGGATGCCAAAGAGGATGGACCTAGACTGTTCTCAGTGGTAGCAGATGACAGAACAAGGAGTAATGGTCTCAAGTTGCAGTGGGGGAGGTTTAGGTTGGATATTAGGAAAAACTTTTTCACCAGGAGAGTGGTGAAACACTGGAATGGGTTACCTAGGGAGGTGGTGGAATCTCCTTCCTTAGAGGTTTTTAAGGTCAGGCTTGACAAAGCCCTGGCTGGGATGATTTAGTTGCGGATTGGTCCTGCTTTGAGCAGGGGGTTGGACTAGAACCTCCTGAGGCCCCTTCCAACCCCGAGATTCCATGATCCTATGGGCCCAGAGCAGAGCCCTAGGTCTGAGCGGGCCTGGCTGGTGCCTCAGACCCTGAGTCCCGCGTTGTCCCGAGCCGTCTCTAGGCATTTGCTTTGAAATATTTTTTTTTGCTTTCTTATTTTTAGCGGAGGCACAGATTTCCCTTCTCAGGAGGTGACCCTGTGAAGCTGCCAGAACAAAAGCATTAAGGGAAACAAGCTTGCTGCCCGCCTGCCACCAGCCACCCGCCCTCCCACCACCATGTTTCCCACCCAGGGCCGACTTAAAGCAACCAACCACGTGCCCGTTAAACCACTAACAGACTTGGCCGTTTGCTTTGTGGTTATTTTGACGCAAAGAGGGATATTCATTTACAGGAGAGGCACCAGAGAACATTTCTGCGGGATTCCCCAGCCTGGTGCTGGCAGGGCGTAGACACTAAAAGGGGGGGAGGGATCCCTCAGTGGTTTGAGCATTGGCCTGCTAAACCCAGGGTTGCAAGTTCAATCCTTGAGGAGGCCATTTAGGGATCTGGGGCAAAAAATGGGGCTTGGTCCTGCTTTGAGCAGGGGGTTGGTCTAGATGACCTCCTGAGGTCCCTTCCAACCCTTGTATTCTACGATTCTATGACTGATTTTCATTTTATTTTCTGCGAGGGCTACATTAACGAGACTGCCTCCATGGCAGGTACCTGCTCCACTACAGCTGCCCCAGCCGACTTGTTGCCTCCCTTGTAATTTTCACGTCCTTTCTTTCCATGGCCACAAGACACTTCATGACTTCGTGGCCTCGCTGGCAAAAAGCATATTGAGTGGCCCCATCTGTGGGCTAGACCCCTGTGGTGGCAGAGAGATTTCTGTGGCATCAGGAAATCAGTGGGCACCAGAGCATGGCCCTTTACTTCTAGTGCCAACTGCGTTCTGAAAGTCACCCTGGGAGACAGCTTATTACTCGCATTTCTTTCTGCCTTCTCACGGCCGAGAATTATAGCCTTTCACAAGCGGTCAGGAAAGTGGTTTCTTCCAAAGAAGAAAGCGAATTCATTCAATCCCAGACCACAAAATCTGGGACAGATCAAACTGCCAAGGTTTTCCAGGAGGTTTTCATTCCACTCTAATGCCAATGGGAGCACAAAACAAAATCCACAGGGTCCATATGTTACTGGAAATCAGACTACACATTCCAGGGGGCTCGTTTTCTGCTTCTAACATGTGTTTTTCCTCTGTGGAGCAGAGTTCTTATGCCTAGTAACAATGAGGCCACCATTCAGGATAAAATTAAATCCAGCCTGAACCTCTGGCCTGAAATCAAATCTCCACCACAGATGGATTTAGCTACGTAACTATTACGTCTGAGGCCTCTGCTGCCTGAAAAGCCTGGCAGCCACTTTGGGCCAGATTTGCAGAAGAGCCCAGTTCCCATTTAGGTACCTAAATGAAGTGCCAGATTTTCAAAGTTACTCTGCTCCCAATGAAAACCACAGAGAACTCCCTTCTTTACTGAGAGCAATGGAGAATCTGGCCATGTAGGTCTCATTCAGCGCAGGCTGGCCCAGCCGAGATTGGCCCTGCGATTCCTCATGGAGACTTTATTGTGGCATGTTCCCGATTTTTATTGCTCTCTTCATCTACAATAAAGGTTAACCTGGATGAAAATATCTGGAGAAACACAGGTAAACCCAAAGTAGAAGACAGGCTTTGGGTTCAAAAAAAAAAAACCAAACAAACAAAAAAACACACCACACCCCACAGTTTGGTAAATGGTTTTTTCCCTTAAGTGTTCAGATCTCTGGAAGCAGCAGACTCAGAAAAGCAACCAAAAGGATTCAGAGAAACATCCAGAGCAGCCAGCACTGAGGACCACCCCACTGCCCATAGTAGAGGAGCATGCTGGATACCAGGAGTGTATCTGAGCAGTTCTCATGGCACAAGGTGGTTCTCAAAGCTCTGCTCACATGAAGAGTCTCCAACAGACACAGCTAAGCTTCCCATGGCACCTGGAAAAGGGACTCTGAGCCACGCTCCTGCAGTACCTAGACATGTCCATTAGTAATTATTTGTGTAATAGCCCAGCCATGGAGCAGGACCCCACTTGCTAGGTGCTGTACACAAACAGAATAGAAAGATGGGCCCTGCTTTATTCAAATGTGCCACAGTAACTCAGGTCTCCCTTGCTCAGTCAGCCAGGCCACTGTTAGGATGGGACACTTCCCACAAAGGCCCAGGCGCTGTAGAAGTGGTGAAAGTGATTGAGCAGGGGCTGCTCTTTGCTCTGGACCAATGCCATAGTGAGAGGCGTGTTTGTAAACAAGAGCACGCTGACAGCAGCTTTCCACAATATTTATTGTGGTTTCTCCCGCCTTGAACCTGGAATGCAGATGAATGATTAGCTGGATTTGAAGGTCATCTAGTTCCACTGTAACTTCTGTCAAAGCCCGTCTACTCTGTCAAAAACCTGTTCTGTAATTTTCTACAGACAGGTGCTCCTCAATAAGGAGTCCTGACGCATACCTTTACATCTCATATGCGCTGGGGAACTATTTCTACTGCAGGAGAAGCACACCACTGTCAGAAGAGGCTGTCATTGACACTCCTACTTCTGCATGAACAGGTCTTTGCATTTAGGGCAAAATTCTGGTCCCGGTGAAAGTGCTTGAGGGAACAGATGGATCCCATGACGGTCAACAGACCATGGCTTTGTCAGACCAATGTGAAGAGAGAGAGAGTTCCTAGTACATAATAATCCAGTCTGGAGATGACAGAGGCCTAGATCACTATGGAAAGGCCCAGATCTTCTCATCTCCCTGTACCCAAGAGCAACAAAGGGGACTGACAGTGCTCAGAACCTGAGACACAAAGCCTTGATTTGGAAGCACCAGCAAATGTCCCCAGAAGCCTCAGAGCAGCCAAATCCAGCCAGCCAGTCTCCTCACTGAGATGTTCAAGCAATGGGACTGAGAGAGTGAATCCTCCAAAAGGCATAAGTGTCACGTAGGCCCCTGGCATTGGCACCAGCTGGAGGCTGTGGTTTCCTCCTTGTTCCCCTACCACATCAGAGTTGAAACAAAAAGGCAGCCATTTTGCTGAGCCCAGTGGCAGAGGTGGCCATCTTGCTGAAAAGCCAGTGCCTTTGTGATCCTCACAGATGAGAATGCCCAAGATCAGAGGTTGTAATGAAGTTTCTAAGTTGCTTTGATGGCCCTTATGGTTACAGACCCCTGGCCCAGACACCCTTTATTTTGAAATACCCTACACCAGCACCCAAGCTCACAGAGATTTAGGCCCATATCTCTGGACACATCCAAATTATGAACCCTGCCGAGAAACAGCCCTTCTCATGTGGGATACTCCCACAGGCCTAGCTTCCAATGTTCCTTTGGGGGGGGAATGCAGAGGTGGCCTTGCAGCCCCCTGAATAGCCCACCACCCCCTCTTAGGCTTTCAGGAGGGGACCCAGCTAGCCCACACCAGCTCTCCAGGCACAAGCATTAACATTTGCTTTATTAAGAGTCACAAAGGTGGCTGTCCAGGCCAGCCAACTGCTGGCAGATCCCCAAGAACATTCCCTTTCTTCCCACTCAGTCCCTGCCATTTTCATTGCCAAAGCCTCACACAATCACTTCACGCCTTTGCCATCAGGGAAGGAGCCATTAGCTCAGGACAGGCTGGTGGATCCCAAATGCTTACTGGGAAGCAGCAGGCACCAGCTATTTATCCCCACGGAAGCAAAGCTGGAAGCTCTGGGAAGGATGTCCTTGTTCTGCTGATGCTCCAGGACTACTTCACTAGGGCCTGATCCTGACACACGCCAAGCTCGTTGGGGATGGAGGCTGCCCAGCACCATGTCGAGCTGAGCTCTCAGCCAACTCCTTTCACTTGCCACAGTGCCTGACTGAGCCCAGCTTTCAATATTTGCCTCAGCTAGGTGGCTGCTGGATCCCCCCTTTTGCCACACTAACTGCCTGGCACCCCAGGCCAAGAGTCAGCCCCACCGGATGCCACCTGGCTAGCAATACTGCTGCCAGAGGAAGGCAAGTTGGGTGGAGCAGAGCCAGCACAGCTTAGGGTGGGACAGGAGAACTCTGATGGGTGAGCTCCGCCAGGATGCAGAGCAGTGTCCGCAAAGCGGGCAGTTTTCTCAGAGCCCAGATAAGCCAGTTGATCCCGGGTTATTAATCTGAAAGCCTTTAATTGTCAGTGTTCCTTGGATCACTGTGCGGGGCCTAGTCAGGCTTCCCTTTGCTCCCCTCCTGTTTCCTAAGCCATCATGGCACACCGCAGTGCGGCCAAGGGTGAGATACAAGCTCATTTGGCTAATAAGCGTACAGCTCACAGTGTTTTGAGGCAGCTTGGGAGCAACATGGGAAAAGTACCACCTAATTTCCTCACCCCAGCCCTGCCCCCCCACTCCAAACAACCCCCACAGGGGGGACACCAAAGACAGAGCAAGATGTAGATATTAACTTGGATTGTCAGGGATCAGTTTATATGCTGTTGCACTGGAATCCTGCGTCTAGGTGCTACCACAATACACATAACTAATCACTCTCAGAGGAAGGTAATGTGGCAAGGGAGTCCTGCCCAGATTGGAATACATCCCTTTGCAGTCAGGGTCTTCTTCAGCCTGCTTTATGAAAGCCACTGAAATCTGCCTGGTCTCTTATGGCTAGTCTATCTGGCAGCTGTTTGACACAGGACTACATCAAACACACATTAGGTACCTTTCAGTTCACACCAGCAGGGTCTACATGGGGCAGTTAAAAGCACGACACTTTAGTCTGCTCTACAATTCTCCCCCCAATCTCCCATATTCTGCACTGTGCTGCAGTGTAGATCAGCCCTTAGACGCCATTAGGGCCAGGCATGCTTGTTTGGAGAAGGTAAAAGCCAGCCTAAACCTTCGTCCAAATCCAGCCATGGAGGATCAAGGAACTGCAAATAATTTCAGTGTTTCTTATTATTTTTGCAGAGCCTCTCCTTCGCAGGTGGAGTTGGGACTGAAGGGGCTGACCTGGGGCAAGAGCTATCAATGCAGTGTAGTCCAGTCACATACAGCACTTTCCATGCAGAGATCTCAAAGTGTTTTGCCACAGTAGGAAATGGCCATTATCCTCGTTTTAAAGGTGGGGAAACTGAGGCACAGAAAGCGGAATGGTCTTCCTCAAGGTCATCCAGCATAAGAACTTAACATAAGAATGGCCATACTTGGTCAGACCAAAGGTCCATCTAGCCCAGTATCCTGTCTGACAGTGGCCAATGCCAGACGCCCCAGAGGGAATGAACAGAAAAGGGAATCAAGTGATCCATCCCCTGTCACCCATTCCCATATATTGGCAAACAGACACATGTGCACAATCTACTGCAAGCAGTGTCTCATTTGGAAGATTCACATGGGCAGAGCTTAGCGTACCACCATCTTTTCTTCCCACCAATCTGACCGGGCTACACATTTATCCCATGTTTTCATAGGCTCTGCTCTTCCCCAGAAATCATGGGCAGAAAGCAAAACATTTGTTTTGCGAAGGGTCAGGGAAGTTCCAGAACTCCTACTTCTAGAACGGACAACTGATTGGTTCCCCCCACCACGGATTTGCTCTGACATTGCACAGCTCCAAAGCACACAATGCTGACACGACTTGAGTGACAACAAGATTGAAGTGAACTCTCCAAGGTCCAAAATAAACGCAAGCCGCGCTGTACGTATACAGAGGAATGTTTTTCAGTTGCAATAGTTTATCTACCTACGGACAACAGTAATCTACAAATCCAGCTGGGAAAAGCCCAGGTACAGAACAGCAACAGTCCTTTTCCATCACTATAAAGGGCTATACCCTGCATCACCCTCATGGATAGCCCTCAACCCAGTTCAGCAAGGCAATGGCAGAGCAGGGAGCAGAGCCAAAGTTTGCTACCTGCCAGGATGGCACCCTCCATACTTCACCATGCTGCCTTTTATGACAAACACTGTTCCTAGGCCATCTTAAGCCTAGCAGAAGTATCCACATTTCTGGGTGTTGATCCCAACTGACCATCCAACCCTTCCTAATCCATCCCCCAATAATTGAGTTTTGAAACAGCCCCCCCTGGGTATGAACCCACAACCTCCAGCCCTGCAGAACATACTTCTACCTCTTGTGCTAAAGGAGAAACTCCATTAACTGGAAGCAGCAGCAGGTTCTTTCCTTCCATGGGGCCCAGCCACCAACTAGGGTTGCAGAACACATTTTACGTGTGTTACAATTTCATGATTGAATCAATGCCAGCTCCCACTGATACCAGCCCTCACCATATTATACCCAGCCCCCCAAGTCATTCCTCCCCAACCCCAGGAATATAATGCTATTCATCCACCGGCTCTGCTTTTCTCCACACTATACCTCGATGTCTGGGATGTTGTCAAAGAGCTGCTGGGCGATATCTTTGCAACCCTGCTGGATGGCCTCCGGGGGCATCTCGTTATCCGAATACCAGTCCCTGTTAACAGAGTGGGCATAGGCAGCACTGGGAGTGGCGTGGTTTACCCGTGTGGTGGTGACGATGCCCACAGACTTGCCTGCAGCAGGAGAAAAGGGGTTAACAGTGGGATAAGTGAGTGGGGAGCATGACATGCGGTTTGATGGTTAGAGATATAAAGGGACTGATCCCCATCTCGGAGTGTAACCATGCTGCATTTACCCACGAAAGCTTATGCCCAAATAAATCTGTTAGTCTTTAAAGGTGCCACCGGACTCCCAGTTGTTCGTGCTCTATTGACACCTGCGAAGGAGAGACCACCACACAAAGCATTCTGGGATGCTATCATGCAGTGCACCCTCCGCCAATCGTTTTCCCCTTGCTCACCTCACGTTGGAGGGACATGTTTTCTAGCCACAGCCCTAGAGGGGGCACTGTAGGATATGTCCAGAACAGACAGGAGATGGGGGATCTCACTGGGGAATGTCCCAGGTATTTCTTTTCAACGGATACATGGAAGGGGGCACTGTCCATTAGTTTAGGATGAAACTTCACATTGCTTTGGTTCAGGTGTCCTTGGCATGGCAGTTGTTTCTGCGGTCAGGGATGTTTTTTCCCCCCCCAACCCTTCTTTGGAAGAGGAGCACATCTCGGAAGTCCTGCTCTAAGGGACAGGAATGCCAGAAACAAAGAAATCGATGAAATGAATCAACTTGACCTGGCCATGCCCCCGTCCTGCCCACCCTCCCCTCTGGCCACTGGGCCCAGAGAGCTGGTCTGTATCATACATGACATCTTACAGCCTGCCCACTTGCTCACCTGCTCCCTTCGCCCACTTGAGAACCGATGTGACCTCGTTGCCCGCTGTGGTATTGCACTGAGCGCGGGTCACGGCTGCGCTCACGCCCACCGTCCCCTCGTTGGCCTTCACCCCACAGAGATAAGCAGTAGCCGTGCCTGCACTGTCTGGCACCTGGGCGTTGGTGTTGTAGGTCTGCAAGGATGAACGGCAGGGTTGAATGAGCAAGACCAGCGTCAGCAGCCCCCGTCACAAGGCCTTGGCCGCTTACCTTTCCTCCCCAGAACAGGCATGGAGGAAACAGAGCCCCAAACCTCCCACTGATAGCCTTCCCCCTCACCAGGAAGGGCCCAACGGTGAGTAGCAAGGGAGAGATTGCCTCAAGGGGTGTGCCTGTGCCTTCAGGCTCGACTCCCACAGCAGAAAAGGGAGCTGGCAGAGCAGGACCCCTATACCTCGTGCCATCACCCAGCTGCCCACAATCCCTGCCTTTCAGCTCCATGCATATTTTAATTCAGTCCAGAACATTTTTAACCTGGCACCAGACAGGGACACTAGGCAATACATATTTGATCCTATTCAATAAAAAAATAAAAATAAAAAACCCCACACCTTGCAAAAAATAAAGTTTTTCCTCCAAAGTGGGGCATCCCTCACCCCCCCCCCCCCACCTTGTGGCAAGCAGCTGGCTAGCCTCACCCTGCACTCCACTGCGGTGAGATGCATTATTGACACAAACATGGATTGAATCAGGGCTTCAGTTCAGAGCAGGGAGGCAACAGCAGGTGTCTCAGTGCCAGACCATCCACCCATGGCCAGCTGCATGCCAGCAGATGGGCTGGGTGAAGAGCACAGCCCTGAAAATGCTGGTGCCAAGATCCTTTTTCCAACCCAAATGCCAGGGACCCATGTCCAGGGAAAAGCAGTTTGGGAGAAATGAAATGGCATTTTTAAGTTTGTTTTTAAGAGCAGCTCATCTATGCAGTGTTTTACCCTAAGAGCTGCCATCTGCGAAAGACACTGGTCCCTGTGATATTAGGGACTGTGCCTTCAAGGGCTGAGCTTCCCAGACAGCCTGGGTGGAGTACCATGAAGTTCATGTTATGCACAGACGGTTGGAACCAAACTTAGAATAAAGCAGATCTCTTGTAAACTCTGTGCGACCACTGACCACCCCAGCCCCCTGCTCCACCGGCTCAGAGAATGGAAGCAGGCAATGGGTTGAGCAGCTCTCTTGGCTTTGCTTGGTGGAGAGCAGTTCAATTATAAGGAATCAGGGAAATAAACTCTTTGTATTCAGACTGATTTTCAAATCAGCCTAAGGGATTTGGATGCTCGAGGTCCCATCCATGACATAATTAATGCAAACTGAACACCCCAATCCTGGAGGCAGCTTTGAAATTCTCAGCTATTTTAAATCAGAGATATGTGGGTATGTGCAAATCTGAATGCAACCCTAGCTATGCTGACCCCACTATACATTCATACGCATATGCACACACCTGGCAGCCTCAGGATCAGTTTTAAAAGTCTATCTTGTGACCAGAGTGAAAATGCAGAGGGTTTTTCAGGAGTCTGCTTTCCCACAGTCTAACCTTTAAAAATTGCCCTTGACTCAGAGCCCTTTCAAATGTCAAACTTCCAAAAGGCATCAAAGTTGGCCCAGCACCTCTGTATTCTCTGCCATAAATCTTTTCCTGGTCTCTGAGAGGCCAAGACACCTGTGTATATTCTGGCATTAATCCCTATGCAATTGCAATCACTTGAATTAACCCAAACAAATGGAAACTGAATTTCTTAAAGAGACACCTTCCTGGCCGAGAGGAGCTGCCCTGGGCGTGTATGTGTCAGTCAGCTGGCACAAATCTTTGCCTTTGCCAGTGGCTTATTTGATGCTGGTTTGATTTACAGCACTTGTCAATACCTGCTGGAGAGATGGCATTGAGGTCACTGAAATTGATTCTGCCTGGGGTGTCAACAAAGGGGCAGTCTCATCAACAGGCCCACAAAGATATGTTAGTCTCCCAGCTTCTCCTCCCATGGGGAAGTTGGCAAAAGCCAAGGACAGAGGGGTCCCTAGCCCCTAAGAGAAGTAATTTTGAGTGGGAGGGAAGGACTGGTGGCGAATGCCCTGCAGGTGACCCAAAGCAACCAGCTCCCTGGAGAAAAGTGACAGTTCCATGGCTGTGGCAGATGCTTTATCCAGAGTCACCTATTTCTGCAACCAGGCTGAAACAAACTGAGCTGCTTTCACTGAGCAACCAGGGAAATGCAGCTGAAGCCCAGAGAAGATGGGGCTCTGATACTAGGCAGGGTGTGGGGTGAGAGGAGAGGGGTGGGGAGCAGGTGCTGGAGGAAAACCTTCCCCCATACCCCAGAAGAAACACAACAACAAGTTGAAGGTGCAAGAGACAGGGACAAAACACAATCCTTGCTGCCCCTCCCCCCTGCAGTAGTGGAGCTGGGATTGTACCTCCTTGGGCACAGGCCAGCTTTTTAAAGGCCTTCAGGCATTGTTGCACTCGGCATTGCAAGGCCTAACCGACTTAGGCTCCCGTTGGGATTTAGGCTCCTAAATTAGTTGGGCGTTGCAAGACTGAGCACAGAAGAAGTACAGTCCTTTGAATGACTGTGATCCAGTTTTTTCTCTACCCTTCCCCCACAAGCTGAGCAGCTTCACAGTGCCCCCAACACAGACATGTCTAAATGCCCCAGCCATGAAATCCAGAGCAGGACAGATTCCTGTAGATTCTCAGCCGCAGGCATTGCCTCACCCCCGCCACTTTGTAGCTCCTGCTCCCACCCCAAACCATGCCCCAGGAATAGCCAGGCAGGCAAAAATAACTGGCCTCACCTTGGACAAAGCCACATAAGGAAATTTATCCATTTCCAGCAGGGATTCTTCCCCCTTCATGTTCTGCAGCTGCCCCTTGAGGATACGAGCTGCTGTGACGGTGGAGACTCCCATGCCTGCAGCAGACAGTTGGACAAAGCAAGAATGAATCACATGGAGCAGTGACCTGTGTCCAATGCTGAAGAATCGCAAAGCACTGACTACGACTTCCTTAAAAGCTATTGCAAGGCATTGCAGGGGGATCAGAAAAGCCGGTCCAACCCACTCACCAGAGGCTTCTCCACACAGCTGTCTCCAGATCAGGTACAGACTAAAACATTAGTTGCAACAATTATTCCTCTTTTTTGTCTGAGCTTGGCTCCCCTGGCCCCAAGAGGAAAACATCAGGTGACAGTATAATTAAACCATGCTCATGACACAATTAACCCTTTAACTGCTGAATTAAAATAGAACATTGCACATCGTTTATTTTGCTCTGCATCCCATTTCTATTCCCCTGAGAGAAGTCCAGGGCTAAGGACCATCGTCCCAACCCACGGCTGTTATACACAGTAAAAGCAGTCTATGCAAACCACTTCACCCTTGCCAATATAGGATTCCAGTTCATCAAAGACTTTGGGGAATTAGGTGCTTCCTCTCTTCCTGAGTGGGTTCAGACAAAAATTGACATAAGGCCCTTCCCTCAATATGAGGAAGCACAGAAGATGGGCACCAGTTTTCTCCAGTGGCCATCTCAGCTTAAAGCAGTCCCTGGAAATCTCCACATTGGGAGATCTTCTCAGAGAACCAGTCAGATAGGACAAAGGAGAGCAAGGGAGCTGCTCTCATCTAACTGTTCTGTTAGGCAAGGGGCCCTATTCCTGGTCTAGGGGACAAGGCACTGGATTAGGAATCAGGCACACGGGATTCTATTCCTGGCTCTGCTGTTGACCTGTTCTGGAACCTTGGCACTGCGGAGTAGCGAGCCTCCAAGACCACACCACAGACTAGGGCTTGTGCTATGGCAATAAAAATAGCTGTGTAGACCTACCCCCTCCTTCGACGTCACAGCATGAGCTCCACCCAAGCCACAATGTCTACACAGCTATTTCTAATCCAGTAGCACAAGCACAAGCCTGTTGACCCAGGCTCAGGGGCAGGCTGTGTAGATAGACCCTTTTGTGTCTGTTTGCCCTCCCCATCTATTATCTGCAATGGGTGCTCTTGTAATATACACTCTGTTCCTGCATTCACCTTCATTCTTTTGGTAGCTCAGGGACATTTTTATACCTGGTATTTCTTTAATAACCCATAAGCTCTGAATCTGCAAGTTGCACCACGGATGCCCACTAACTTCCATGATGCTCAGAGATGGAGCCAGTGAAGGCCTGGGACCTAGCACACTATAGTGACTTATGGTAACATTTTCAAAAGCGTCTACTTAACATGGAAGGCTAAGTCTCACAAAGTCAATAGTCCACATTTCTAAGAGCCCAAGATCACTTCTGAAAATGGGACTTAGGTGCTTTTGAAAATTTTCCCCTTGACTGTGCAATTATGGAACAGACGTGACATTTTGATTTTTCTTTCTTGTTTTGTTTATTAGAAAAAGGCTATTTATGCAGAGTAGGGGCGTTAAATTGTCAAAATGTCAGAGATTAAAAATGGCCTTTTAAAAAAAAAAAAGAATTTTTCAAATAACCACTTTGTTTCTCTCTCTACATTTTTTTCTAAAAACAGAAAAATCAGGTTTTCCATTAAAAAGTATATTATTTTGCTTCATTTCTGGCAGAATACATGTTACCAGTTTCCAACCACACAACCATTTGCACGGCAATTACTGGTGTGCGTGCAATGTTTGTGAAAGGCTAGGACACAGTCTTGAAGTTCAATGATCCCTCGCACCAACTTAAGCCAGTCAAAAAGCTCAGACAAGCAACATACCCAACCTGGGGGATGAGGGCAGAGAACCCGGAGAGCTTTAAAAACCGGCTCATCAGGACAGATGTGCGCCGGACCAATAGCACTTGTGCACACAGCACAAACGGCCCATGTTTTAGAAGTCCTACCCCAGGAGTCAGGCTCCAGAGCACATGTTCCGAGAGGTGCTCAGGATGGATATGTGACCAGATGCTACTCATGGTGCAAGATCAGCAAGAGCGACCAGTGAACCTTCGAAGGGTTTATTCAGAGAATCATCCCCCTGTGTTGCTTTCACTCCTTCTGTTCTCTCCCTCTACCCCCAAAGCCAGCCTGCAAAGCATTCCTGGCTTTCAGAAGCTGGCTTTGTTGAGCATCTGCCCCTGCTCCAAGGGTCTTTGCTTCGTTTGCTTATCCTCTTGTTTGAGGTTGGGTGAAGTGGTGAAAAATTGCTGCTTGATAACTAGAGCCTCTCGGAACAGATGTCTGCAGCTCACAGTGGGGAGGGGCGCGTGGGGGTGAGGAGTGAGAGAGACCTAATCCCAAGAGTCCCGGGAATCAGAGCACAGCCCAGGATTACCAACAACCCCATATGTTTTACACCAAGACCGCAGAAGAATGTCCCAAGCATGGGTCTAAATGGAATCTGCTGTCCCTGGGACATGGCATGCTGGCACTGGGTCCTTCTGAACCAGGCTTTCCCAGGCTGTCTAACCACATAGCAGCTACTTGAAAGGTTAGATAAACTTGGCATCCCAGCCCTGCTGTTGGTGGACCTAGTGGTTCCCAGCATCTCTGGGATCAACCTCTCCTCTCCACCTTCAGCCTGCATCGTGACTCATAGAATCATAGATCAGGGTTGGAAGAGACCTCAGGAGGTCATCTAGTCCCCCTGCTCAAAGCAGGACCAACTCGGACACAACCTGGGTCACTGAACTCCAGCGGGGAGGGGCAGGGAAAAGTGTCCATGTGATGCCTGGGAAAGGGGATATTTGGGAAACGCAGCTCTCTAAAGCTGGCAGGAAGGGGGTCAGGTCAGCCAATGGGAGCTTACTCTGATGACATAATGCCTCCCACTGGCGGCGAATATTTGATCGTGTGATGTCACAGCGAGTGCAACATCAGCACAGTTATCGCTGCGCCGCACTCCACAGCCACTCACAGCTCTGCAAGCGCAGCTGGGCTGCAAGCACAGGCCCCTGCGACTGAGCCACATGGTGCGCGTCTAGGGTCTATGACACACAGTTCAGTGGTCCTTCCCTAGGCCAGGAGAGGCAGGAGGGGGAGCTGCCATCTCCAGCCTCCTTACTCCAGCCCGGTAGAGGACACACTACTGCTCCTCCTCCACGCCACCGACACGGTTACCACTAGGGAGCCAGAGTTAGCCACAGTGGGTAATGTTGGGGAGAGAGGCCCAAACCCTCCGAGGTGTTTAACTCCCATTGTGGGCCAGCGCAGTCCCAACCAGTGGAGTTCCCAAGTGGAGGACTCTGGCAGAATCCACTGAGATTTATGAATCACCAACCAGGGGAATTACAGGAAATTCCAAGAAAGTTTGATGGCAAGATCACTGCCTGCGCCCCCCCCCCCCCCCACACACACACACACTCCCCACCCACCCACAATTTCCAGAACTGACCCAACCCCTCTTCCTGAGACACTGGGGTTGACACAGGCCACTCCCACCCCATGTGCGCTGCTTAGGCAGCGGATAAAAGCACTCACCATCTCCAAGAAATAAGATGATGTTCTTGGCCACATTGGTGTTGAGCTGCTGCAGCTTCAGGGCAATTTTCAGTGTCTGCTGAGCCTGATTCCTCCAGTACTGTGGATTCTTCTCCTTCTCTGAAAGGACAGCCACGGCAGGGTGAGAGCACAGCAGCCAGAGAGAAGGGCCAGGTCTACACTGCAGAGTTACGTCAACTCAAACATCGCTCCAGGTGTGAAAAATCCACCCCTCAGAGCAGACCTAACTCCCAGTGCACACAGCTGGACACAGAAGCCTTCCATTGGAGAGATGCACTAACTACAGCAATGGAAGAGCCCCTCCGCCCCAGAGGTGACAGCCAGGGGAGAAAGAGGGTGGACCGCTTGGCTGGGATTCTAGAGGGGGGACTACATGGGCGATAGCCCTGAGCCTTGACACTCAGAACCTCTGGGATTTAAACACACCACACACAACCACAGATCCTCATGTGCCCCAAATTAGTGGGCACTTTTGAAAGTTTGACCAAAGTAATTTGCCCCATAGTCACACAGCAAATCCGGCAGAGCCAGAAACAAAAACACACACACACAGAGTTACTTGTTTCTTGTAACTGTTGTTCCTGGAGAGGTGTTGCTCACATCCATTCCAATTAGGACTGTGCATGCGGGGCGCACACACGTCGGAAAGTTTGTCCCCTGGCAGCACCCGTCGGGTCGGCTGTGGAGCCCCCTGGCGTGGCGCCTTCATGGCGCTCAATATGTGACCCTGCCAACCCTGCACCTCCTCAGTCCCTCCTTGCCGGCTGCTCCGACAGAGGGGAAGATGGGCGGGGATGAGCAGTGGATGTGAGCAACGCATCTCGAAGAACAATCGTTAGGAGGCAAGTAACCGTTTTTTCTTTGAGTGATTGCTCGTATCGATTCCCAAGCCTCACCTAGGTGTTAAGGAAACGCTGATTGCGGCAAAAGCCGCGTCGTCCCTGGTGAGCTGAGTGATGGCCTAGCGAGAGGTGAAGGTATGTACCGAGGACCAAGTTGCTGCCCTGCGGATTTCCTGGATTGGAACCTGGGCCAGGAATACGGCCGACGAGGCCTGGGCCCTAGTGGAGTGTGCCATGAGGGCTGGGGTCGGCACTTTGGCCAGTTCTTAGCACATGCGGATGCAGGACACTATCCAGGAGGATATTCTTTGAGATTAGACCGGGAAGCCTTTCATCTGGTCCGTCATAAATAGCTGGGTCGATTTTCTGAAGGTCTTAGTAGGCGCTTAATGTAGAAAGCTAGTGCTCACTGAACATCAAGGGAGCGTAGCCATTGCTGTTGGGTACCGGCATAAGGGTAAAAGGAAAATGTCCTGGCTGGTGTGGAAGTGAGACATCACGTTGGGGAGAAAGGCCGGGTGTAGCCTGAGTTGCACCTTAGCCTTGTGGAAAGCTGTGTAAGGCAGTTCCGAGGTGAGGGCCTTTAGCTCAGACACCCTTCTCACAGATGTAATGGCCACCAGGAAAGCTGCCTTCCAAGACAGATACAGGAGGGAGCAAGTCACCAATGGTTCAAATGGGCCCCCCACATGAGCCATGAAAGGACCAGGTTAAGGTCCACGCAGGGACAGGCTGCCGAATCTGAGCATGCAGGCGGTGCAAATCTTTGAGGAAGCAACCAACCATAGGGTTGGCAAAGACGGAGCGATCCGACACACTCAGGTGGAAGGCTGAGATAACAGCAAGGCGCACCTTTATGTACCCAGCAGTCTGAGGTTATTTGGGACCAGGCATGGTAGGAGTAGGACAAACGATTCAAAAAGGGCGGGGAAGGATCCAGGGAGGAGTCTGGTGCGTTGTCCTCGGGCGTCTCTTCAAAAGGCCTGCTTGGAACCCGCTGATGGTTTGGTTGGGTCCTGGCCTTGTTTGGAAGGGGGATTGGAAGGCTTCCTTCTGCTGTTCCTGCCCCTCAGTCTGTAGAAGCCCTACCTCAGCTGAGGAGGGTAGGAGGGCTGCTGCTGCTGGGGCTGGGCCTGGAAGGGTTTCTGTGGGGTTGCTGGGGTGTGCATACCCAAGGATTTCATAGTCCCCCTTGAGTCCTTTAGGCTGTGCAGCCGAGAGGCAGTCTGCTACGCGAACAGGCCTGCCCCTCGGTGGAAGGCCCGAGGCTTGCAACCAAGAGGTGCACCTCATGGCAATACCCGAGGACAAGGTGTGCACTGCCGAGTCTGCAGTGTCCAGTGAGGCCTGTAAAGAGGCCTGTGCCACCACCCTGCCTTCGTCTACTATACCCCCAAACTCCTCCCTGGACTCAGATGGCACAAGCTCCTTGAGCATCAAGTTCCAGGAGTTGAAGTTACAGCAGCTCAGAATTGCGAGCTGGTTGGCAATCCTGAGCGGACGTCCCCCCATGGAGTACACTTTATGGCCAAACGAGTCTAGGAGCTTGGCCTCCGGCGCCTGCTGCCCCTGCCTCTCTCTCTCATTTACAGTCACAGCCACCAATGAACAGGGCTGTGGGTGCGTAAAAGAGATATTCGTACCCCTTTGAGGGCACGAAGTACTTCCTCTCAGTGCCCGTGGCTATGGGAGGGATGGAGGCTGACAGATAGTCTTGGAATTGGCCTGTATGGTCTTGATGAGGGGCAGAGCCACCCTCAAAGGACCTTCTGGGGCCAGAATGTCAACCACAGGGTCCTCTAACTCCACCACCTCCTCGGCGTGCAGACCCATGTTGCACGCTGCTCTGCGCAGGAGGTCCTGGTGGGCACGGCTATCTATAGAAGGCAGTCCAGAGACAGAAGTGCCTGCAATGGCTTTGTCAGAGGAGGACGAAGAGGTCATTGGGGGAAACCAGGTCCTCTCATCCTTCCTGCTCATCAGGAGCCTGACGATCTGCTTTGCTGGTCACCCCCAGCTCAGGAACCGGAGTTGGAGCTGATTCTGAGAGGAGGTGGGGGCACTGTGTCTCCCCAGCACCCCTAGGGGTGGGCTGACTGGCTGAGGCCTACGGCCCCCTTGGTTCAGAGGTGGCCGATTGGGACCCTTTAGACTGGGTGCCCTGGGCTGGTGGTATGCCCATGGGGTCCAGAATGGCCACTGCGCTGGTCCCTGCCACTGTGCAGGCCATGGCCCTGGCCCCACCTCAGAGCGTCCATAGCCTGACCAGTGTCGGTCCTGCTCCGAGTACCTAGACCCTGCCTCCAAGTTTGAGGACCAGGATCACGAGGGCCAGGGTGGTGCTGAGCGGAGCTGAGCTGGCGACCGGTGCTGCGAGGCTGGGGAGCAGTGCGTGACCTGGAGCTACACAGGGTCATCGAGCGGCGCCGGATTGGTGCCGTGTCCAGGACCTGCTCCGCAAAGGATCAGCATTGAGAGCGCTGGCATGACCTGGAGTGGTGCCGTGAGTTTGACCTGGCTGTCGGCACCACTGTTCATTGCTTCTTTGCCTTGAGATGGTGCCGTGGTACCAGACGCTTGATGTGAATCCTAGGCAACCTTGGCGCTGTCACGGTGATGAGGTCCCTTGTGGCCAGAAAGGTGTCCTGAGTGGATGGTAGCTGTACCTCCTCAATGATGAGGGCTGGGGAGTCCAACGGCACCAGACTCGACAATCCCCCTTGCAGGGCCAAAGTCAATGGTACCGTCTCCGCAGGCTTTGGCGCTGGGTGCTCCTCTCGAGGACGTGCCCCATTGGCTAGCTCCAGAGGGGTGGGTCTGTGGGATGGAGAGCTGCTCTTTCTTTGCTTTGGGTGCTGCTTCTGTGCCAGGGAGTGGGAGCGGTGCCGGGTTGATCCTGCCGGTTTCAGCGCCAGGGAGCAGCGGTGCTGCAGGTCTCTGCCAGAGTCCGTCCACTGTGCCACTTCCACCACGGCGCTACACACCGAAGAACTGTCTGCCAGATCCTGCCACACGGAAGGAAGTTAAGGTCTAAGTAGGTCTTCACCATAAGGAGCTGCTTAAGGTGAAAGTCTTGCTCCTCTTTGGTTCTAGGGCAAAACCCTTGCGAATCCCGTACCTATTGGCTTGGTGAGCCTCCCCCAGGCACTTGAGACAAGTGTTGTGAGGGTTGCCCGTTGACATGGGCTTGGAGCAGGACTTGAACCCCTGGGACTTGTGATGAAAGCTCTCTCAAGAGAAACCAGTCAGGATGGAGGGTAAACCTCCCATCCCAACTGCTACTACAATAAGCTAAATAAAAGATACAAGAGAAACAAGAGCTAGGGAAACGTGGAGAACTTGCTGAGCAAGAAGCCACAGGTCCAACAACTGTCACAGGTGGTAGAATCATATCATAGAATATCAGGGTTGGAAGGGACCTCAGGAGGTCATCTAGTCCAACCCCCTGCTCAATAAGAAGGAACTGAGGTGGCACTGGGTAGGCAGGGTCATATATTGAGCGCCATGAAGGTGCCACACCAGGAGGCTCCACAGCCGACCCGACTGGTGCGACTAGGGGGGAAAAGAAAAAACAAACACCTTTCTAATGACTGTGCACACGGCTCGCACACATCTAATTGGAATCGACACGAGCAATCATTCAAAGAAGAACCTAGAGGTCCTGACTGCCAGTCCCCAGCTGTCACCACAGTGCTCCATCCTTTAGCAGAAGGAACCAAGCCCCAAAAAGCAGCAACAAGAGCCTGCCTCCACAGGCCTGGATCTAGACATGAGAAGAAACGAGCATTCTCTGCATGTCTTTAAGGAAGCCAGCAGCATCTGCCTGCACAGTCTTCTCCTTGCCATACTAACTTATGAAATCAGCCACCCTTCAGGGAGGTCACCCGGGGAGTGGCCATTTTCCAGGGTTTTGTGGCATTGTGCATGGGACTAGGAGAGGTTTCTAGCCTGTGGAATGAAGCTCAGAAGAGGAATCTTGGATCAAGTCCCAGCTTCTTGTGCGTGAGCTGACTCAGTCCTGGGGACTGGTGTCCCAAGGATGGATTGCTCTTTGATCTCTGACCGAAGAACAGAGACAGAGACCCTAAGGGAGGGTCTGCAGGAGCATTTGCTCTTTCCACAGCACTATGAAGGAAGCATCCAGCACTACGGGGTCCCAAATAACGGTATTCGTTAATTCATTATTGCCAGTTCTGGGTTGCAGGTGTTTTCTTAAAGCCCCAGCTGCTGGAATCCTGGTACTGCAGGAGAATCTTG